GGGGAAAATATTAACACATACATACATCTATATTAGAGATACACACAAACCACACGTATGTATATATTATTTTCCAACAAAATCTAAGTTAGCTGATTCAAATCTTGTTCAAAGTATTAGACTTCTTTTACTTTCCTAGAGCATAGAGAGTATGACATGTTGTTAGGAAAATGATGGCTTTTGATGTATCATTTCTCATTGGTTGTATATTTTGACCATTGCAAACTTTCTACTGATTTTAAGCAAACTCCGAAGTTAGTCTAAGATTCAGGTCAGGTACTAAATTGTAAGTGTGATTATGTACATAATCTTCGCATATCCTTGGGCCATTGGCCTCACATAAGTTATTAATAAATTAATGTATATATGTTTGGTATGTCAAAGTTGGTGATGCAATAAAAAAGTGTATAGAACCATGTTGTTCATATAGCATTTCGTTAGTTGTTCACTGTTGAAGAACAGTGAAGATTGCCAAATTAAACAGGATTAATTAGCCATGTGAATAGTTTCACTTGTTTCTTTGAATTCTTATTATTTATAATTCATTAGTACAGCTTTTTTCTAATTATCCATACATGTAACCCACACATACCTCGATTTGCTTTGTTCCCCTATTAAATAATATCTATATTTGAAAAAGGAAAACGGAGAATACAAACTTAATGAGTGTAGGCATTGGATGATAATTAAGTGGTTTAGAAATGTAGTGATCAGTATTTCTCCACGTATCAATCTTAATTATTTAATATATAAGCTTTTGGTGGCATCTTTTATTAGCTTTTCCCTTAATCTTGTAATATAATAAAAAATTAATGCTGTCGGGGTATGGAAAACAAAAAGCAAGCAAATGACAGAAAAATAATTTCTTAAGATAAGAAAAGAGAAAGGGAAAGAAAAGGGAATGGGGAAAATATTAAATAGGTTTTTAAAGTTTTCAGAAAGTAGCATATATGGAATATCAAATACCAAATGTGGTACCATTCCATTGCTAATCATGTCTGGATTAATTTTTATTATCGTAAACGTGCACATTGATCATAAACTTTTTTTTGTTACATATGCATCAAATATCGCAGATAATTTAATTTATAGAATTAGTGAGTACACTTGAAAAGAATTCATTTTCAATACTTAATAAAAGATGTAATTAAGTTACATAACTAAAGTAGAGGTGGAATTGTCGGGTCACTCGAAGGGATTTATCCTAAAATGGACTCTAACATAGCTTAAAGACTAATTCTAATTAGGCTATTTGGAGCTTTTTTGTGCGTCTCTAATTACTAATTTAGTATAGACTTTAACAATTTTCTTCTTTCAAAACATGCATTGTAGGATCTCGTCAACAAAAAAGAAATGAGTGTTAAGCAAACAAAGGGCGTAAATACAAATAGTAGGTAGCAAAACTTTAGGATCTCGTCAAACCAGGACCCGCTTCCCCATTCACTCTTTGGTAACTAATTGAGTAAAGAAAACCAAACATATATATCAGCGACGGACAAATCGGAAAATTCGTTCCAAACAAATATATTATGTAAAAACATTTGTTCAGAACATGTTATTAAATATCAATTACATTATGTTTTAGAGAAAACTGATATCCCTAATGAGTAATGACTGTGTTTTAATATTAAAAAAACAGATATATAATCGCCCCCCTCTTTTTTTTTCTTTCATAAAGCAGTACTCATAGTCATAGCTAGCAATAGTACAAGAGACCTTTAAATAAATACCATAAGAAACTTAAAACACAAGAATTACGCAAACTAGGCATTTGTTCTCAAAATCTTCGCCTATCTCCGATTAATGACTAATTTGAAGAAATTATTTACCCGATTACTCTTCACGTAGTCCAATTTTTTCCCGTCTAATCTGAATACTCTCGGCCTAATCTTGCATATCCTGATTTTTTTTTAGATTGCAAGTATAAAACAAATTTTTTTTTGTTATTTAGACATTTTGATTGAGGATTTATGATATTTTACAATAATTTATGTTCAAAATTTTAAAATAAATCATTAAATTTTGTCTTAACATTATATTTTTATGGTTTACAATAATTTTGAAAATAATATTACATTAATATGTTTTAAAACATTAAAATAACTCTAAAACTAGTCTCCGATTAATCTTTGATTTTAGTCCGATTGTTCGATTAATTGTTAGACCCATACTGAGTACCCGACTAATATTTAACGAATTTTCGAACAAATAATTAGGCTAATCACATGATGATGTGTTTCAAATTTTTGCCTATATATATACACACACAAAATGTATGATGTTAGTATAATCTCCCGAAAAAGAAACCAAAAAAACCCGAAACAGAACATTTCAATGAGCATAATAATCAATTTTATGAAATTAAAAAAGAAAATAAAACATTTTCAAGTGACAAAAACAAAATACTACATTTTGATGTAAAAAAGAAAGGAAAATGTATAAATCGAAAAGAAGAGAGAGAGAATGAAAAGACAAGTCAAACGTCAAATCGAACCACTTCCTTATCATACGACTGTCAGTGCCCTTCTGTGTTGTCATTCTTTTTTCTCTTATTTTTTCTCACTTTCCTTTTACCCCAAAATTACCAAACAAAGAGAGAAATAGCTATTTTTTTGGTTTTTGTTTTCAAAATAAATATCCTCTCACACGTGTGCTCTCGAACGCACGACGTAGATAACAACATATACCAAAAAATAGTTCGTACGACAAGAAAGCATTCCATCATCTTTTTCATTGCATCAAAAAATTTCTAATAACTAAGATGTTTTTTTTTCTTCCAAGAAGGCATAACAAATAAGATGTTAATAGAGTTTTATCAAGGTTTTTACATTTTTGGCAACAAATAATATATTTTTGATTGGAAATTTCCCTTTTCGAATGACCAAATCATAAATTAATTCTTATACCGAATTTGGTTATAATAATGAGAAGAAAAATAACAACAAGACGGACCCTATCGATCCGGCCGACACGCTTCTCCATGTCCGTCCCACTCACTTTCCCATCCATGTGTATTTTTTTCTGAAATTATTATTACTTTTTTATAACGAAGAATGAATTTAATTTAATTTGATTGGTCCAACTCCAGTCCAACTAGTTAAATACAGCTTTCTCAACTGGTGAATATATGGGTTCGGACCACGACTGCGCCATTATCAGAGCCACGTCTTGACTTCTGTGGTTGGATGTTTCATTCTATACCTGATTGATTTGATTTTTATATGTTAGACGAATAATAGCTTTGTTTGATGATTCACTACTATATGATTTTTTTGCCATTAACATATATCTTGATAATCAGTTAATCACTATATCGTATACAGTTGAAGTTTAATATTTACAAAAATTGCATTTTCATTAGAGCAACGTGCTCATACAACCATGTTTATAATTTTAATTTAAATAAACAATAATTTTCTAATAAGTCGTTATGAGCGACTGCCAAAAAGATATGCACCAAATTAATGATAAAATTTAGCGCTTGATTTTTAGTTTTACATTAACACATGAAATAATTATATAAAGCCTAAAAAATATAGATCACCCATTTAATTAAAAAGAATTATTTGATAAATTAAGTATTTAAATTAATTACAAGGATAACCCATTGATATACAATGTTTATCATTTTATATATAGTATTATAATACATGATAAGTCCTTAAACAACAAAAAAATACATGATAAGTTATATAAATTTAGTCGTCTATAAATGAATAATTCAATCCACAACAAATGCAAATACCTTTAACGAAAACATAAATAAATTACTTACCAAAAAAAAAAACATAAATAAATACCTCTAACAGAATATTCAATTGATATACTCCATGTTGTTTACATGATTTGGGGCTTATATTTGTAGATAATAAAGTAAAATTTTGATAGTTCTAGCCTTCTAGGCTAATCTTATTAGGATTAGTTTAATTACAGTTGATTACTGTGTATGTAAAGGAAGAATATCCACTTCTTACGTAAAATCGAGTGACCAAATTTTTTGATTCCCGGATCTTCTGGTTAGAAAAAAATTTAATACGTAGCCAAAAAAAAAGTAAAGCAAATTTAAAATAAGAAAAAGAAAAAGTAAAGAGGAGAAAAGGAGGATGGTGAGGATTGGTCCAACGGTCAAACAGAAAACCATCAAATCAGATTTCACTACAGTTACGAAATTTATTTCACTCCTTCTGTCTTTTAACTTAATTAGGCCTATGTTCTTATCCATCACCTTCCTCTCTTTTTTTACCATTTTATCTCATCTCCCATTTATATACATATGTGTATCATTGTGTTGTTCAGGCTCTCACATGGTTCTGTATCAAGCCAAAAAGACAATTGCCGAGGATCTTGGATTTATTATATTATCCCCCTACTACTCAATTCATACGCCTCGTTTTTTTTTTTCGGAAATCAGATTTAAGTAGGATTTTGATTAGTCAGGAGCTAATGATGTTTCATTGTTTATTAGTAACACTTAAATCATTAGTATTATAATTCCCTCATTTGAAATTCTTTCTATTTTCCATTAATAGATTTGGCCCACCTTTGTATTCATTTCTTCTTAATAATTATTTTCCTATTTTAGTAACCAAATCACTAAATTTCCATTGATTATTAATAATACTTTAACCCTTTTTATAATCGGCATCAAGACAAAACACTGATACAGTTATTAATTTTTTTACCATCTTAGTTTAAATATCTGAGCCGCCCGGTTCATCCATTCAAATCTCTCTCTTTCTCTTATCAGTCCAAAAAAAATATCTAACACCACAAAGCAATAAAGAATCCTTCTCTCTCTCTTTCTCTCTCTCTCAGAGAGGAGCAAGAAAGAAGCTTCAAAAGACCAAAGCTTAAGCTTTTTCCCCCGGAAACTTTGTTCCCCTTTTTCGAAAAACTAATAATTCATAACTTATTCCTCTATTAGCCAACAAGATCAATCAAAGGAGGCAACTTATTTTTCTGTTTTAATTTCTTTCTCTTTCTCAAAGACTACTTGCTAAACCCTAGCTTTTGTTCTAGAGAGAATTCAAGAACCAAGTTTTTTTTTTTTGAATAAGCATGAGCAGTCTTGAAGAATCCTTGAGATCTCTATCGTTGGATTTCCTAAACCTACTAATCAACGGTCAAGCTTTCTCCGACGTGACTTTCAGCGTTGAAGGTCGTTTAGTCCACGCTCACCGTTGTATCCTCGCCGCACGGAGTCTTTTCTTTCGCAAGTTCTTCTGTGGGACAGACTCACCACAACCTGTCACTGGTATAGACCCGACCCGACATGGGTCCGTACCCGCTAGCCCAACAAGAGGCTCCACGGCCCCAGCTGGAGTTATACCAGTGAACTCAGTCGGTTATGAGGTGTTTCTGTTGCTACTTCAGTTTCTTTATAGCGGACAAGTCTCCATCGTGCCGCAGAAACACGAGCCTAGACCTAATTGTGGCGAGAGAGGATGTTGGCACACTCATTGCTCAGCCGCCGTTGATCTTGCTCTTGATACTCTCGCCGCCTCTCGTTACTTCGGCGTCGAGCAGCTCGCATTGCTCACTCAGGTTCTCTTTCTCTCTGTCTCTGCCTTCACACTACTTACTTCTCCATGCATATCACAATGAAACCAAATTGAAAGTTTCCACTTTTTTGGTCTTGTTCTGCTTCTTTTAGATTGTTTTCTTTCACGAGCTTGGTTTAAACTTAATAAATCATGAAACCCTTTTGGTTCAAAAATTTTTTTCTTTTGTTCATAGGTTTAGCTTAAATTTATTAAATCACGAAACCCATTTGGTTTAATTATTTTTCTTTCATGGCTTAAATTTTTTAATTTTCATAAACTAAATTTGATTATATATACGTGTATATATATATTTTAAGTTATATTTGTTCTTGTCTTGATTTCATGTGTAAATGAGTTTAAGTTTCTTGCTTTGAAACAATTTTCCATCGGCTAAGTTTCCGAAAGTAGAAGCCGGTGGTTTTGTTGCACGGAAGAGAATTTTCCTTAAAGTAGAAAATTTGGAGAGCTATATTATGTAGTTGGATCTATTCGTTTCTTGGTCTTAATGTCTTATCCAATTAATTTTCCTCATTTGGGGTTTCGATACTAATCTATACATAAGGAATAAAACCTACTCCACCATCAAAAAAATCCATATGAGATGACAAGAAAGTTAATTAATAGAAAAAAATCCATACCCTAAAAATGGAAATTAAACCCCACTTGCTGAAAAAGTCGGTTCTTTGGATTTATATCATACTTATCAATTAAACTGTTTGTATGATTGGCAGAAACAATTGGCAAGCATGGTGGAGAAAGCCTCTATTGAAGATGTGATGAAAGTTTTAATAGCATCAAGAAAGCAAGACATGCATCAATTATGGACCACTTGCTCTCACTTAGTTGCTAAATCAGGTCTCCCGCCAGAGATTCTAGCCAAACATCTCCCTATCGACGTTGTCGCCAAAATAGAAGAGCTTCGTCTGAAATCTTCTATAGCTCGTCGTTCTTTAATGCCTCACAACCACCACCATGATCTCAGCGTGGCTCAAGACCTAGAAGATCAAAAGATTAGAAGGATGAGACGAGCTTTGGATTCATCAGACGTGGAGCTAGTGAAGCTGATGGTTATGGGAGAAGGACTCAATCTTGATGAGTCATTAGCATTGCATTACGCTGTTGAAAGTTGTAGTAGAGAAGTTGTCAAGGCTTTGCTTGAACTTGGAGCTGCCGACGTGAATTATCCGGCGGGTCCCGCGGGAAAAACGCCGTTGCACATTGCTGCTGAGATGGTCTCTCCAGACATGGTGGCTGTTCTGTTAGACCACCACGCTGATCCTAATGTACGGACAGTTGGTGGAATCACTCCTCTTGATATCCTTAGAACATTAACTTCGGATTTCTTGTTCAAGGGGGCAGTTCCTGGATTGACTCACATTGAACCGAACAAGCTTAGGCTTTGCCTCGAGCTTGTTCAATCCGCTGCAATGGTGATATCTCGAGAAGAAGGAAACAATAGCAACAATCAAAATAATGATAACAATACCGGGATTTACCCTCACATGAATGAAGAGCACAATAGTGGAAGCAGTGGAGGGAGCAATAACAATTTGGATTCAAGATTGGTTTATCTCAATCTTGGAGCAGGTACGGGTCAGATGGGTCCAGGTCGAGATCAAGGGGATGACCATATCAGTCAGAGGGAAGGTATGAGTCGGCATCATCATCATCATCAAGACCCATCTACAATGTATCATCACCATCATCAACATCACTTCTAGTTCTCTCTATTGGTCTCTATATCTCAACCATTCAGACTCAAAATATATTTATTAATTTAGTTCTTATATCATTCTATATATATTTTTGTATTTGGAAATGAGGACATATAAGGAGAGTATTAAGAAGAGGGGCATGGAGGAATTGAAGATCATGCGTCATATAATTAAAGACTAGGTTTATTTAATTTAGTTGCTCTATAGCTAGCGTTGTACTAATTAATCATTTTTTTTTTTTTTTTTGATATACCCGATCGGCTGATCCGGTCAGCCCTGGGGGAACGCACCGAAGTGCTACCATGTGGACTCACTACCACCCCGAAGGATGGGCTACCACACTGCCTAACCCAAGTTTGGAATGCTTTCCGACTAATGCCCGGGGATAGCTGGATCGCCTGTTACCAGACTATCAGGTAAACTGCCTGGGCCGAAGCCCAAGCCCAGACTTCCCACAAAGTGTTGATAACAGCGAGGGAGGAAGATCGAACCTGGGTTCGGGGATTTCACCCTCAACTCCAGACTCGCCCTACCACTAGCCCACCACCTTGCGGGCAAACTAATTAATCATTTGATTAATTTGCCATTGATTAGTTTTTTTTTTTTGGTAAGATGCCATTGATTAGTTAATATCTTATCTTTCTACCCTAGTTCATGCTCTCGTACGTAACTACGGCTGTTAGAAAATAATCATATCGAACACTTTAAATTTACTAAGCCGAACTAACAGAAGTTACTATACAATAATACATGGTATGTTCGAAATTAAACCTTTCACAAAAATAGTTTTACATGATTTTGTTTTATTCGTGATTCGAGAACTGTCTTTTAATTGAAGTTTTTGTATGTATTTGCATCACCATGGTCTTATGGGGTTTATAAATATAATCATATTATATACACAACAAAAATATATCTTCCCGTTTATCCTCTTTGAAAATTTTGATAGTTTCTAAATATTTGTTGTGTGGCTGATTTTCTATCGTCGTATAAAACGGTCTGCAACTTGGAATATCGCTAGTAATATATATATATAATAGTTTTTTTTTACGTCGAATATCACTAATATATTATATGACTGATTTCACATACACAAAATTTCCCTTCTCTATCTGTATTTCGGACGCGTTGATCATGAAACTAGTACATATAAGTTTACATCGAATCATATTTTTGAAAGTTGAAACATGAGATGATATCATTATAACTTCTTATGTTTTAGGCTTTTAGCTACAATGTTATTATGGGAGGTTCAAACTCAAAATTTTGAAGTAAAATTTGGGATTTTCAACCGGTTAAACCTATATTATTGGTTGTCCAATAACTTATTTTCTTTAATTTATTTCAAAAATACAGAATAAACTACAAATTAGAAATAATTTACAGTTGATTGCGAAATATAACGTTAGGTTTGATCTCTGAAAAGAAAAAAAAGAAGTTAAGAGGCTAATATGGGATCAAGAATGAACTTTAATTAGTATGAGGATTGGAATTGATTGGTATAAACTTAGAATGGAAGCAATCAGTTATTCATCATCTCTAACAGAAAATTGAAACATCAAATCCATTGTCGTGTAAAGATTAACACAAGGAGATTGGGACATTACATGAGGAAACACCTTTGATCATATAAAAACACACATATAAATATAACAAAGAGAAAATAAAATAAAAATGAAAAGTAGAAAAGCCAATATTTATGGGAGTGTCAATGTCACTTCTACAATGTAGAGCCCAATCAAATCCGATCTAGTGTCTTCGGTCAGTGTTCGTTTTTTACTTCGCTTTCATCGCAAATAAAAACATTGGCTGTATTATTAACTTTTTTCCATCAAAAATCTGTTTTTCTTTTCGCTTGTCTATAATTTAGCAAGCAAGGAACATGAGATAACACTTGAAAATGTAGTAACCACAAATTTAAAACTAAGTACAAATTTAACCATTTGAAATATGATTAAAAATTAATAGCATAAAAATAAAATAAAAACAATTACGACATGCTAAAATCATTTGTATTTGTTATCGTTTACTATATATATAGGTCAATGAATTGTTTTTCTAAATATCATCAATACGAACAGCTAAATATTCACTTTTGTAGACTAATATAGTAATATACATAACTCTCTATCTGGTGCAACAATATTAAGTAATGTGAACAAAAAGATCCATTGAACAACATAAGAACTTGGTGTCCTGAAAACAAAACAACATTTTGTGTTCAGTTTTGTTTCTACCACCAACCAAGATCAATCTTTATCCAAAGAACTCTTACGGTGAAGATGTTGGTTGGTTTCAAATCACAACTTTGGAATATATAGGTACGTTGGAGAATGATTATTTGAACAGAGCATATTAATTAAGGTAACGATTTAGAAAGATATGAAAAACAAATTAAAATCCAATTTCAAAGCTGAAAAAAACAAAACTTGTATAAAAGCATCTTGTTATTGTATGCACACAGAATCTATAGAGGAAGCAGGTCATTTCTTGCGAGCCAAAGCTGCAGCGATTCCACCAGCTATGAGGCCAACAGCTGTAGCCGTGATGCCTATCCCAATAACACCATCTGCAATTAGGAATAACACAACTCTACATCAGAATCATTGTTCAGATTGTCTGAAAAATGATTCAGAACAGCTTTCACTTACCCTTTGCGATCTTGTCTTCAATAGTTTTCTTTAAGACCAAAGCTTGCCTCCAATCAGGTTGAATCTATGGAAACCAACCATTAAACGAGTAAGAAGTTTACAGACATTTAAAACCATGAGCCTATTATCGATTTGTGAAAAAAGAGTATGAACCTCGATACAACGTTCCACGAGCTGCCTGCTCTTTGAGTAATCCCCAGTCCGGTAATATCCAACAGCAAGAAGGTAAAGCTTCTCCCGGTCTTCCAAAGGAGGGCTACTGCTTGCTAGAGAAGCTGCGACAAAAGGGTTGGTCAAATTCTGGTTTACACTTTACACCACCATGAAAGGTAAAAGCTTTGACCATTCATTAGACACAAAGCAGAGTTTGACGGTGCATTAGATAAAAGCACAAGCATTTGATGTAAATAAGTATACCTTCGAGCATGGCAATACCGCGCTGGATATCTTCAGCTTGGCGAGAATGAACAAGAGCCCACGATAATCGCATAATGCTCTCTTTCTTCTTCTCTTCAGAGTCACCATCAGAGGACTCCTTAACCTCTTTCTCACACCCCTGAAAAGCAAACATTAGAGGGTTACTTGGTATGTGACTGTGACGAACATTCGAAAAACATGAAGCTCTCTGACATAATAAGCTAAGTACATTTGGTAAAGTTCCACTAAAGATCATGACTTTGACTTATAAACCAAGTTATGCAAATAAACAAATTCTACAGAAATTTTGTTTTCACTACGGATTTGATCTTTGAATTACGATAACCGAATTAGGGCTCTAGTAACTATTTACACAATTCATGAAATTTCTAGTAGCTCAGTTCAAAATTCTCCCGAATATAGAAACAATCAAGGACGAGCCATTATCGAGAAATCAAACCAATTTTCATATAACCCAAAATCACAATCAGAAAACGGCGAAAAAAGGGGAAAGAGGAAACTAACAACGATGACATCTCGCTCGCACCATGGGATTTTATCGCCGCCGGAGAAGAAGGAACCAACGGAGTCGAAGAAATTTCCGATTTTGGAACCCATTGCGCCGATCCAAGTTTTAGACTTTTTGTTTCTCTCTCTTCTCTTTTAATTCTTTAAGTATCGGCGAGAGAAAGAGAGCAGGAAGAATTTTATTTCTTTTCAAATTGTAATAAGACCCCTGTATTTTGGGATATTTATAAACTCATCTCTATACTTATGCTTATTTAGAAATAGCCCCGAGATAAAATAGTGATGTGTTTGGCAAGCAAAAAGAGTCTGTATGGGATAAGAAGAAATATTTTTCCAATAAACGTCTTTTTGTTCCATGATACAAAGCCTTTCTTATACGCAATTTCATCGAACAAACCTGCGGCCAGCGGGCCAAATTATTTATTAGTCCGAAGCAACTAAACAATGCAAGAACTGACAAACATATGGGATGGTGGCAACGACACCAGACCATTCAACCGTCCCGCTAATTCCTTCTCCAACCCTATCCAACACGATCAATGCACACCAGATCTTCTCCTCCTTCTTATTATTATTCATCTTCTTCCTCTTCTTTGTAGTAATAGTAGTACTAATGTCTCTTTCTCTCCAGAAAATAGCTAGCTTCCCATAATATTCCGCCATTGCAGAGCCATACAACTTTCGATGCAGTGTCTGCACATCACCAGTAACCACTCTCCATACGTTAAGCTTTGTGTCAAGCCACATTAGCCCACATTTGGTAAAAAAAGCAAAGAGCACATTGTTTGCCACACATATGCACCAAACCCAATTCTCATCAATTGGCATCTCCAGTTTCTCCTTTCTTGTACCTTGTCTCAGATTGTAGACAATGATACTATCATTATCCATAGCATAAACCTTCCCCTCCAGTGACACACTTGACGCCATCATCGGTTTAGTATCCACTTTCTCGTCAGGGACAGGGACTCCTACAACTTTCCAAGTTTGCGTTTCTAGGTCGTAAACCTGCTCTTCGGTCTCATCTTGTATCAAGTCTTGGATTACATATATCTTTCCGCCGAATACTCCCACGGCGTTGCTGGACGCAATTCGTCGGGACTCCGGCTTGATCTGGCCCTGACGTAACTTGCCAGACCGGGTATCAAGGATCCACAGCTCGGTCGGGTTTGGACGTCCGCCCACAAAGTATATCTCTGAATCCACCGCGACCGTGGAAGATCGGAACATGAAACAATGACTAGAGAACGAGATCGGGACCAATTGATACCCCGTTGTCCTCGTTGGACGGAGAGTGAACCAAAGATAGGTGGCATCAGTAGAATAATTCTCCCTATCGCAGAAGCAGACGTAGACGGAATCCTTGTGGAGGAGGGATCGCATCCGGTAGAGCTCAGGCGTGCGCACAAGGGACCTGAGCCTTCTCGAGACGCAAGCGACGTTTTCGTAGTACCGTCTCGGGACGCGGACTAAGCAGTTCAGAACCATCTCGTCGGGCAAACAAGAAAGGGATGACCACGACGATACGTTTCTAGCCATTGATCAAACGTCTTTTCAGATTTTCTTTTTTGACTATATAAGTTAGAGAAACTAAATCTTCTAGGTCTGCGCAGGGTTAATACCTTTTTTTTTTTTTAAGAAAGATAGTTTTGGATCTAGTTCTAATAGAATTGGAAGTAATTAGTTGCAAATTTAAGGAAACTTTAATATTTGTAGTTTTACTTTCTTAGGCCACTTATGGCAAAAGCACACGAACAGAACCAACTCGCAAGAGAGACCTGAAACATGCATACGCAACAAGATTAAATTTATTCTCTTGGTTACAGCATGTGTTTAGGACAGCCTGTATCCATCCTGCAAGAAATGGTAGCTGATGATGATGTTTGGTCCTAAGGGGTAACTTACTTCCAAGTTTTATAGTCAAATTTATATTGTACTACAAGAACTGACAAGATCAAGTTATGCAAAATGGTCCCAATATTTGATGATCCAATGAGACTACCAGACTGGGTGTAGAGGGGTGGTGGGCAAGATTACCCAAGTAGGGGCCCTAGGTTACATGCCCTGTCAGCAAGCGTAACCAAGAGACAAATTTTTACCTTTTATGCAACAAATCATGGCAGGGAGATTCGGGATGTCAACTATTAACCTACCATAAAAAAGATGGGAAATAGAAGTTAGAACTACTTTTCTAGTAACTTTCACACTGTATAATATGAAAATAAAATGCCACAGATCTTAATTTGGAGCAAGAGACGAAGAGTAATGGTCATAAAAGCTATATAGTGAACACAAGCATATGACTATCCTGCCCAAAACCTTTCCTTTAAATTCCCCTCTCTACCTATAATTCCTCCATATCATCCCTCATATCTGTCTTCGCAATTTCTCTCAAGAAAGTAGAAATGGCATTGAACTCAACCTTCGGTAAACGAAACAGCAAGAGTTTCCTCAGAATCTTCATGATTTTGGTTCTAAGCTTTATACCAGGTAGAACCAATCTTTGTCCCAATCATTCTGTTAGTACCCAATAGATTTCCCTCCTTCGAATCCTTCAGATATTCGCTCCACAAGCTGTATACCTGCTCAGTTCAGTGTCCCGTATGTTCAACAAATTTGCCACATTTGCAAGAACTTGAGCTGAAGAGACCACATTTGACGATAAGCTCTCTTGTGACATTCCTGCACTCTCCAATATCTCTCTAACCCTGCGTTCAAGCATATGGAACCCCAAATCAACAACATCTACCAGCTATAGATTTGTCATTGGTATTTCATTCATGCTCTATTTCTATTGTAGTAAAAAGACCACCTATGCATTTCTATAGGAGTAAACACACTGAAGACTTCAATAGTCTTTGACACTAAAATAAGAGTGCAGACAAGTGTGAAAACATGCACCACACTCTTGTAACTTGCAACAAAGAAAGATTATATAAACAAAACAGTGGACATATAACGTATTTCACATATTGAATCAGGGAAAGGAGAATTTGTGACCTGTTCTGAGAAATTCTGCCTTGGACAGTTTGGCAGATGGTAAAGTTCCATCCTGAGCATGGCTATTGGAATACATAAATAGTCAGAATAGTGAAATGACTTTTAATAGGTGAAGTGGATCAGGGCACTTACTCTATTCAGACTTTTCTGCATTCTCAAGGGATCAAGAAAATTTGATTTTGAAGGAGAATGCTTTTGTGGAAGGATTTGTGATAATAGATAGAACAGAACTCCTCAATAACTGGTGGTTGTCATTCAGCCCCAACGATTCTACACAGACAAGCCAATTCAAGTCTGATTTGAAAAGTTGAAAACTCATTGTTGTCTAGAAGTGGCAAAATAATTCAACTCAGAAGAAGCTAACTCTGTGAATCAGGGAAGAAGTGAAAGCAATTTATCATCAGCCTTAACTTATATAGAGAGAATCACTATACTCCTCTCTAAATCAAACCGTCCGGTTTGTAATGGTTTCCCTGCAAGAAACCGAGAAGTTACTATCAGAGTTATATTCCATCATCTTTGTTCTTATCTGAAGTGGCATATATTAAACACTTGTTTTTTATTGCAGGTGGAACAAACATACATCTTTGGTTACTCCAAATGAAGTACCTTTTTGAAATTCCTTGGAAAGAAATGGTCAAAAGGTAACAGAAACCAACTAGTGTGGAGCAGAAAACATCAATTTAAGCAAATAATTCCAATGATTCTGAAACATAAAATTACTAACCTATCCAACATATTTTTTGTTGCAGGTGGAACAAACATACATCTTTGATAACCCCAAAAGAAGATATCTTCTATCTTGTGGCATTTCTCCCCTCTGCAGTGCCAAATTCCTCTGGTAAAAATGATTTAGAGTACCTTTTGAAACAAAATCAAAGAGTTATTAACTTGTGTGCAGCCGTATTTGCCCCATTATAAAAACTCAATAGGAGTAAAAATCACACTTTGGCAACTTGGATCTATAAAATCCTACAAACAAATTGTCCCAAATATAAGAGTATATACCAAAAACTCTATGACATTCAGAAATAAGACCACCATTGCAAAAGCATTGTTCCTCCTAGTCCCGAAATAACTGGAGCTTAATCTCTAGTATTAGCATAAGACAAAAAAAAAATATATATAATAATAAAAAAAGTTACATTAGGAAGAATCGAACCGGAGAGGTTTTGACGTGAACTTAGTTATAACTACCACTGCACTAAAGAACTTCCACTACTCCCTCTATATATTGAGGTTTTCTTAAATACATTTCCCTCTCTCTCTCCATCTTCTGCTTCACTGAGAAAGAAAAAATGGCTTCCGATGAAGAAATTCTCCAATCGGGGATCGAGAAGCTGAAGGAACAGCTCCACAAATTTGGATCCGATTATGGTCTCGAAGGAGCAGTTCTCTGTCAGTCGTTGAATCAATCAGCTACTCAAGTTGCTTTTGCCTTTCCAAGGTAACAAAACTCCTCCGATTTCCAGAATTCTAGGTCACATAGCTCTCTCAACATTGATGTTCGCCGTGATTCTTGAGATCCGATTTCCAGAATTCTAGGTCATATAGCTCTCTCAGCATTGATCTTCGACGTGATTCTTGAGATCCGATTTCATTTTGCTCAACAAAATTCTAGTTTCTCGAGGTTTTCGTTTAGAAATTGTCATAGAGATGTTGTTCGATCGTAACTGCGAACGAATTCTACATTGTTCCATGGATCGTATATTGTTTTGTCTTGAGATCCGATTTCACGAAATTCAACTTTGTCGAGGATTTTTGTCTAGGTTTTTGTTTCGAAATCGTCAATTATAGAGATGTTCGATAGTAGCTGCAAACGAATTCTACATGTTTCTACATGATCACATTAAGCTGTCTATATTCTTTCGATTTGGTATTTGTTTAAGTTATAAGTAGATGTTTGTAATTGTTATCACATTATGTTCTAACTAAGTGTTGTGTTCTATTCATTGTGCAGCATTGAAAAGAAAGTGAACTATGCCAAGATTGTTTTGTCTGGTAAGGAAACTTATGTGTATGAAGCTGATAAAGATGATGAGAACGACAGCAAACAAGCTACTGACAAGGAGAATGTTGATCTGGTTCTGAAACAAATTGAGGAGGCCAAATGGATTGCAAGTGGTCTAGGGTTTGAAAATCTGATTGAATACGAAAGAAGTAGAATTCCCAATATGAATCTAGCTGAACTCCGCGGTCTCCTTCGTCTACTAAGCTCACTAATAAAAGAAGCTACAGCTGCAACTAAGATCCGTACTGAAGAACTGAAAAGACAAACTGAAAAACTGAAAAGACAAACTGAACCCAGAAGATGATCTCCAAACTAGAGTTTTAAGAACCCCTCTTCACTCTCCACTGCTACTTGGTTCCACTTTTCCCCTCTTCACTCTCCATTGTTAAACAACTTGTCACTTTAGGTTTGTACTTATGAATTTCTGTTGGTGATGTTTGTATGTGTTTCTCAGCCTCTCAAACATTTTCTACCAAATAGCTGAAAACAGAATATTTTCCGGTTTTATATCGATCACTCATCGTTTGTCTCAAGGGCTGATTGTAATACTTCTTCTAGATACTTTTCCGCGGCTGCAAACTGTCTTTTCTTGTCTTCGATTGCTAGTGCAGCCAGAGCTTTGTCCTGTTTACAGAAATGAACAAGCAATCTACTGTGAACCAGGACTAGCAATGACCAATAACAAAGAGGAGATTGATAATGCAGATCAATGAGTTTTACAAAGGCTTGGAGAACCAGAGATGAAGATTACCGGAGGTAAATCCTGGTAGCTTCTTAGAGTATCAAGGACGGGTTTTGTCATCTTGTCCAATTCCTTCCGGTGCTCTGCCATTTCTACCAGCTCTCTGTGGCTGATCTTAGGAGTGTAGCCAACACGATTGAGTAACATCTGCTACCAAAACCATTCATTTTGACTCTGTCAGATTGTTTAAAGGTGACAAATTATCCATATAATCACAACAAACCACTAGAAGCACATTAGCCTCCAAAAACTCACATTTTGCTGAAGTATTAACCATTTTTCTGCATCGTACGATAACGATACTTACCTAGCGAACATCATCACTGCAGTTCTTATACGATCTAGATCTTTATCAGTGTGTGTTTATGATATTACAAACTTAAAATTACTTTAGCCCTAGGATCAAATCCTCAATTACTAGCAACCCTTACTAATCCATCCTGTTTCGGCACCCTAAGAGTTTGTTCCAGCTTTTACATAAAAGTATATGATTCTCAAATACCCCTCACCAGATCTAGTTGCAGAAAGGTATCTGATTCTCAGTTTAACTATTACCAAATGAGAATGTAAAAACTAACAGAAGAAGGCGTCTACCTCATACTTCTTGTACTGCTGTATGTATTGTTCCTCCTTCACCGCCATTACTTCCAAATTTGTTTTCCAGTTCTCCATCTGTGATTCACAAGGGACTACATCGTCTTCTAGCTGCGCAAGGATTCTGTAACAGCACACACAGATAAAGTAAGATAAATCTATAAATATCTTCTCAAAGGAAAATTTTATCTCATTAACAGAGAGCACATTAAAATTTCAATCTAGATGTTGCTATATTATGAATCTTACTTCTTCAAATAGGTCAGCCTCTGTATAGCTTTCCTTGTATAGTCAAGAAGAGCATTGGACTCCTTCTGTGCTTTAGCCCTTTTCTCTTCCACTCCAGTCTTCCTCAGAGATATGTCTCCCATTGCTACAAGGAAACTATACACATTTCTTCTGCATCAGTTTCACAATTCGAGATAGCAACACATCTAATAAGAGAGCTAACAGTACAGTCACCTGCTCAGTTCAGTGTCCCGTATGTTCAACAAATTTGCCACATTTGCAAGAACTTGAGCTGAAGAGACCACATTTGATGGTAAGCTCTCTTGTGACATTCCTGCACTCTCCAATATCTCTCTAATCCTAGCCGCTACATCAACAAAATTTCCACCCAGAGATCTTAGAAAACACACACCTAATAAACAGAGAGAAACTGGGAAATTTCCAAAAAACCCAACTTTGTTTGAAATCATAGTGATAACAATAGCATAGTAACAGATCAGAAACTGATAATGCCCAAAACAAGAGCAAATTAGGAGCTAAAGCAAGTACCTTGAGCACGGTATTCTGAAGCTTTCAGACGAAAATCGTTAGCGACAATGGTGGCAGCTTGAGACTTAGCTTGAGAAGCGGTAGCGAGATTATACAGATGGGTAATGCTTCGATGAGTGTACTCGAAATTGGGGACTTCTTTGCCGGCAGCTTCGAACTGAGAGGTGAGCCACGCTTTCACCTCCGAGATCCTGGCGGCGTCAGAACCGCCCTTAGCTTCACTCACCGCCGCGAGATCACCGGTGACGTCGCTCATCGTCTCTAATCCAATTGGGAGGAAAAATTAACACACACAGAAAAAATGGTGTCTCGATTCAGACTGTATCGGATCAAACGAAGAAGAAAGCAATTGAAATAGAGTGATTCAAGCAGGAAGAAATCAGTTGCAAATTTGAAAATTTCGGGCGATGCGATCGCGTTTGTGGAACCCTAAATTTTCCAGATTTGGGAAAGATAATCAGAGCGATGTTATTGGCGGATTTTGAATATAACAGTTAATTCAAAAAAGGGCAAAAAAAAAAACAGTTAATTCAAAAGTGGGCAATTCTCATAATTTTTTTTAAAATAAAGATGGGAAATTCACCATTAGCCAAAAAAATCACTTGTGAGACTGTGACACTTCTGAGAACTAATTAACAATTAACAACAAATCTCAAATCTTTAATGCTCTTATAGCATTTGTTAATGGTTTGGAATTTTGGATTTCAATTAATCTTTGGAAGAATTAATTGGTAACCTGTAAAATGACTGACAAAACGATTTCGTGATATTTATCATTAATCACATCTATGTGGAATCATTATCTAAATAATTTGAGATTGAAAAACAAAATGTCTTAATGCGTAGATGATTATAACACTTGTCTTAATTGATTTGTTTGTGTGTGTCTTGTTTTCTAATCTTCTAGTCTTAAAGTATAGTCAATAAATAGTTTAATACTTCTATAGTAATAATGGTAATAAATTGCTTTGTTTATTGACGTCACACGCCAGTATTTTTATGTATAAAAATGTGAAACAAATACACAATTTGGTCCAACAGTAAACCAACTCCTCTGTCTCTCTCTCATTTGTTCTTGAATTTTTCATCTTAAGCTTAATTTTCCTTGTATATCCTATCTGATTAATTCTTTCCATCAAAGATTTTAGTTTGAACTACATGGGCTCAAGTTTGTGCTGTTCTCGCGATCCAGATACCACCAGAAGTAGTACGATGGGGAACACTAGCGACCGGAGGTGGCAAACCGGCGACGACAAGTTTCTATCGGACACAAGCACCTTCTCCGTGAAGGAGCAAGAGCATCAGCTTAAGGCGGCCAGACTGGAGGAGCAAAGACTTGGCCGTGAAGCTGAGAAAGTTAACACATGGGTCAAACATGAATCAGCCAGATTCGACCATCGTCCATAGACCATTATTGACCATTATTTTGATTTGACCAAGCTTTCATATGTTTTTGTAAACTATCAAACAGAGTTGTGTATATACAATATATCTCTATGTGAACCACACATTAATAGTTATCAAAATTTGATGGTTTAGAGACCACAAGGAAACACAAAGTTTACAGGTTTTTACATCAAAACATGATACAGATTAGTTGCTACAAACAAATAGAGCTGAAAATGTAAACAAAACGAGATTACATGACGCATCGGTATGTAACATGCCACTCACTGAGCTCGTCTTTGTATGTGACCTTCATGACTTGCCCTGTTTCTAGTCCATAGTATCGCACAATCGGGTCTTTGCTCGATAACCGAGGAATCTAACGAAAGGGAGATAACAAAATTAACGTTTTTAACTCAGAGAAAAGCTGGCTCAGAGTTCCTAGCAATGATCCAAGTACAAAAAAACTAGCTTACTTGTTTCTCCTCGATACTGTATTTCTTGAGAAGTGATTCCTTCTCTTTATCATTCAGAACCTGATGTTTTGGCCTCAAGACATGTTTGGTTACGTTAACCAGCAAATCGGTTATCTAAAAACACAACAAGCAGCACCCAAGATGATATGAACCAAATGTGAGAACACATAACCTAACACGGTACTCAAGATAAAGATACATACCTCGAATAACTCGACCTTAAACGAGAAAAGTTCAACGGCTTTAAGAGCTTGATTTGTTATATGGCTTTGCAAAACCAGTATCAGTCCGGTTATACTTTCTCGGTTAAGTACATCTGCTGCAATGACGCGCATCGCATTGACCTTAACCATACCAGTTCCACAAAACACAACCGTAATCTGAAATCCAAATCAAAGAAATTTCTCTGTGCTTGTGAATTTAATGACAACAGCAAACAAAGATAAGACTTGTCAAGGAAACACCCTCTCTGAAGAGTTCTTTTGCAGTTAGGAGGTCTAAGCCAAGAACAGAGAAGAATGTCAAAAATTGTTTATTGGAACTCTTAACCTTACAAGTGTTACACGGTAATTACACACTAACTAACTGATTAATGCTAACTAACTCAATTACCTAACCATTCTTATCTAACCAAACTTAAACCAGTCGAACCATTTAGATTTTTGCCAGAAAAGACAACGTTTCTGTTTCAACAACAGAGGAATCAGATGAAAGCAAACCTAACTATAGGAACCAAGCTGAAAATCAGAGGAAGTCTTTAAAAGTAGAATCCTTTCTTCAGACAAATTGTATACTACATATCAATTGAATCAAATCAATGGAAAACACTTCAAACTTTTCAAAAGCTAGGCAGAAAAATCAACATGCAGAGAAAGAAAACCACCAGAAATCGAAATCACATTCGTATCGAATTTAAATAACCTTTTTCGAAGAATCAAAGCGATGCTTGGCTGATATACGAAGTCGATCTACGTCAGGATGTTCGCCGTAGAGCGCTCGGAATTGCTCGAGGGAGAAGTTAACATCTTCGTCAGAGACATCGTATCCTCTGTCTCGAAGCATCTCCATGGTTGTTCGACGTGCCAGGTAATATTTGTGACACTCCACACTTGGTTTATCAATGGACTGTACAACCGCTATCTCCTTCCCTTTACCCACCATCGTCTCTCTCGGTCTCGGGGAATGAAGCAAAGCGTCAAGCGTGAGTAGAGTGAAGGGACTGAAAGATGACAAGACCCGTTGTTGTTTTCAATAATCAATTTACCCGTGACGTTCTTACGGTGACAGCGTATGAAGTTTGCAACAGACTTGGATGGTAGCCAATGAGCAGGCAGGTGATGTAGTCAAAGGCGATTGTGCTGTAACTTTAGTGCCCTTTAGTGACACTGGTTTTGGGAAAATCCAATTAAGGTTTCTATAAGGATAAGAAAAAATGGTAAGCTATACTAGAATAGTTAGAAGAGATGCGATAGTAGATAATGTTAAAAACAATTAGTAGGAAACCAGAGATAAAATAGTACAAGTGGAATGTGTTGGTAACATTTTCGTCTACCGCTAATTCCTTTTATTTTTGTGATTTGTAACAATCGAAAAGGTGTTCAATCAAATGTGACATAAATTTGTGTACAAGACTAATAAGACCAAAAGGCCAAAACAAAACAGAGTAAACTCTACTTTATCAGTTTGCATATCCATCTGAAAAAATGGTTTGCATATACATCTGAAAAAGGTCAAGTTATTATTTTGTTTTACATAAATATTTTCATCTTGTTTGAAAAAAAAAACATCATGTTTATAACATGTAAATTACAAGATCAATTAAGACATTCTAGATTTGAGCCTTCGGCCACTTCTTATATCAATATACAAGACAAGTAGACAACAAACAAATCACTCACACAACACAACCAACCAACATATCTTAAGTCAAAAGTTATATCTTTATATTCTTTTTCTTCTCTTCACATTTTTACAACAACATCAATCAAAACGAATCCAATAGCTAAAAACAACACTTGCTACAACGTACCAATCCATTCTCATTGCATCCATTGCATCTCTTAAACCCATCTTCTTGTTCCTCAAACACTTTAGTACTACCACCACAATTAGTACACGGCACAAACCTTGCATCCCCGCAGCTTTCGCAGGCTCCCACGGATTCACAAGCAGGGAAATCTTTTAACATCTCTGTCAGTTCGCCTCCATCGTTGAGTATCTTGATCTCCTCAATTCCACCAATGCGGACACCTCTTATAAACACCTGAGGCAAACAAACCGGTTTCTCTTCACCGAGTGCATTCTGAAGCTCTTTTCTATATTCGGAATCCATTGAGATGTCGCGTTCCTCAACTGCAACCTGAAACCCTCTCAATATCGTTCTAACGCAACAACAATCTTCATACGTCTTTCGAATTCCTCTGAGGCTAGTGAAGTACAATACTATTTTGTTCTTGTTATCTTCTTTTTCAAGCAATCTTGGTTTCTCTTGGTCTTCTTCCGAAGTCTGAAAACTCAGTGGACTCGAGGATACAGATTCTGGTAAAGTCGATTGATTTGAGTGGCTGCAAGAGAGAGCTTTCCCGCTTTTGTCCCCATTACTACTGTTTTTGCTTAGTTGTTTAGAAGACAATGCTTTCTTGTAAGATGAGATAATGTTAGGATCTAAATCAGAGAGAAATGATTCTTCAGACATATGTTTCCACAGAGGTTGCTTAGGTTTAAAAGGCAATAATCTCCAATCTTCGTCATCTTCGTAAGATTCGTCCAATTTCAACGAAGACCCATTAATAACCACGTCTCGATTCTTGATGGGTTTAGAAAAAGAATCCAAATTTACGACGGAGTGACGCTTACTTGTATCGGAATTCTCCGAATCGAAATCGTCGTCGAGGCCGTTCATGAGCTCCCAAGTGTTGATCACTGAGTCAGGAGACAACGAGTCGCGTGCCTCTTCTGTTTCAGGCATCTTCTTGTTATTCTTCCCGGTAACGGAGATATGAGGCAATGTTTGTCTGTCGGAAGCTCCGTCGAGAAGAAGAGAACCGTAAGTGGTCGACGTAAGAGACACGAAGTGGTGCGTGTCGCCTTTTCTAGCCGGTGGATGATGAATCGACGGCATCGGAAATGTGAAAGGTTTAGGGACAGACGAAGACGGGATGTTGAATTCCGTCTCCGGAGGTGAATTCAAATCCGAGGTTAAAGAAGAAGCAGAAGAAGCGGTTTTAGAAGCAGAGGAACCCATAATTTTCGAAGCAGAACAGAGAAGAAGAACAAATGTAGTTTCTACACTCTTTTTTTGGGTTTCTTGTACTTTTCCTTTTGTCGGAGAATATAAAAGAAGAAAGAGAAAGACAGAGAGACAGAGAGAAGAAACAGGTGGAAAGGAGCTGTCTAAGTAAGTTAGAGGTGGAAGATGGTGAAAACACTAAAGAAGACGATTGTGATGTTGATTCGTCGAGATCGAATTTGCTTTGATTTGATCATTAAGGAAAGTATCCATTTGATCCTAATTTTTAGAGCTTGATTTAATAATACAACTGAAACCAAAAAAGTAAACTGTCAATCAAGATCCTCAAAAATTGCATATAACTTCCAAATGTGAACTATCCAATGATTTCCACTAACATTTTTTTAGGGAAATAAAAACAGAGCAAAATAATATTTAACCGTTTAGAAACTTAATTGTTATAGAAGACAGTGATATTTTGCGAAGTTACTTGTTTATAATTTGGATTACGTTAACAGAAAAAAAAAAACAGCATTAAAAATGTATAAAAATTCAAAGATTTAAAGACCGATTTAGAAAGAACTAAGAAGACTAACTTGATATGTGTTGAATTTTGATCTACAAAGAACGAAATTTCTTGGTTATACAAAGTCAATAATCATTCAGGGAATGTTGGAAATAAGTTTACAATTGTCTAGAGAAATTGTGCTGTGCACTGATATTTGTTGTTAAATGAGAATAAACATGAAGCTCAATCGCACAAGGAACACTCATTGAAGATTCCTTTGGTACTTTGCCTTTTAGAAAGAGAATCAAAACTATTTTTAATAACTGGAATAAATAAAGAAAATATCATCATCATAAACAAAAGCAAGATGGGCAAAAGAAGTTATTTTAATTTCTTTTATGTATAAAAAGAAGGAAATCTTGGTAACTTATCCGTAAAGAAAGACGTCCAAGGCGTTAAATTTGTTTAGAATATTTCAATATGTACTTTTTGCTTTTACCAACAGAAAAAGGAAGTAAAATCTTTAGTTATTTGGCTGTAATTTCTTCATGTCAAATTGAAACAAGTTTCTGACATAACTCATTCTACAACACTTGAAGCTGTGAGAACCATCACCAGAGATAATGATGATCTACAATTAGTCTTGTAACATTTTAAGCTATTTGAATGATTCTCAACTAAAATCAGCTGAATTTCAAATGGACGAAGAAAGTCCAATTTCACATATCATTGATCACACTTTGAAAGTAGCTCAATTTAGGAAATAAGAACCAGAACACAAGCATCAATTGACACACACATTATTGTTCTCTTAAATTAGCAGAAACACACAAAAAATTGAGACGTATTATATATCAATGAGCAAACAAATGACCTATACATATATATCTATCTCCTCTATAAACCCAAACTCTTCAATCTTTTGGGACGATTCACACCGGAAAAAAAGAAGCTGAAATCGAGGAGGAGGAAAGAGGTGAATATTCGATCAGTCGACATGTAAAGGACCAACTTCTCGGTTTCTGAGTGAACCAGCAATCTCGTCGGCGATAGACAAACATGTTAAAATCCAGCCGCTCAGAGCAAACCACACCGTTTTCGTCAGAAGCATCGCCATTTCCAAAGGCATCGCCATTATCTCTGTCTCTCTCTCAGTTTCAAAAACTCAATTCATTTTGGCTGAAGAGAAGAAACCACTGGAAAATAGGGAGATCCAGTGGTGGAAGTTTTACGGTGAAGCTGAAGCAGATGAAATATGAGAGAACAATCGGGCACGTGGGACACGCGAGGATCTTTCCAGCAATAATACATCGCCACGTGTTGATTCTGTTCACCAGCCGTGTCTCTTTCTGGCCAGTTAGGACAGCGTTAGGGGACACGTCACTGTTCGACCAATAAAAGAGAAGATCCGACCCAAACTTTATCAACCCGACCCAGTGGTTGGTACTATATATTATGCAAATTTTATAGTTTTTTGTTTTTGTTTTTATAAACCAAAATAAATGTCATTTACTAGCTAGCTGACATTTCCCCAACGAACTAATAATTATTTCCTTATAATTGGACATAATTTTTGTTTTCTTTCGTATTTATAATTGAATTTTTTTATTTTTCCTATCGTTAGTTGATAGTACTTCACAAAACAACAGAAAGATTGCATGAAAACAAGAAAAAAGAGGAGGCACAATGAAATATTACGCATGTGATAGGGAAATAGTAATTAAGGTTATAAAAATCATTTCAAGAAATAATTTGATGCAGCAACATCATAGAAATAGAACCTTCCTTTTATCATTTTTATTTTTTTCGTTTTAGATAGTTCATGGAATGTTTTCGAGGAGTCAGCTTATTGGGCTCGAAAGGCAAATGGCCCGTTATCCTTTCTTGTGTGACTTATATAAGTCAATAACAGGTGCACAAAAAAATGCCAAAAAAAAATGAAAAAAGTGATGGTCCAATCGGAGTCGGCTTATTGGGTTATAGTGGGCTCGGAAGGCAATGGCCTGTTCAATTCACATGTTTTGAATGGTTATTTGTGGTTTTAATCCAGTTTTATCTGGATCACTATGTTTATCTCATAAACAAATCAAGAACTCAAACAAAACATAAGAAAACTCTTGAGATTGTTTTATTTACTCTTGAGATTGTTTAGATGCCAAGAAAAGAAGAAACATAAACAAAATTGAGAATTTACTTTTCACATAATGAACAATAACAAGTGACAACCATTACCATCATCATCTACATATATCTCCCCCTCTTAATTCTCTATAGCAAACTTGTATTTACCAGAAGAAACATTCCTACAAAGAACCTCTAAAAGCTCTGAAATTGTGCAGAAAACCAAAAGAAAGAAAAGGTCAAACCGAGGTTGTGATATCATTGTATTTAGGACGTGATCGATCCGTAGATATCACTTCTTCCATTGCTTTCCTCTTATTACTACACAACATTGGTTCAAGTTGTTCGGATTCAAGTTCTTGGTGGAGAGGCAAGATCTCAATCACTGATGAATCTTCTTCTTTTTCTATCTCCGGTTTAGAAACTACAATCTCTTCTATGGCAACTGGTTTCTCACTTTCTTTCTTCAATTTGGTTTTCATCATATGAGGTTTCAACTTGGTAAGATCAGCCAACTTTACTGGTTTCAAGAAAAACTCTTCAGCTCCTTCTTCCAAACATCTGTTGTTCAGTTTTCAAGACATTACATCAAAACTAAAGATTCAAGATCCATTGCAAGAAACCACAATTTTATACATAGTTCAAAGTTAAAAGACTTATTCAGACCAAAGAATCAATTAAAACCCACTTGCCAATTCTCAAATCAATAAGACTCAAATGAATGTTAAAGAAACAGAGCTCTCTTACCTGGAAATTCTAGCTGGAACGTTCTCAGATGACATTATAACTACAGGTATGCTTCTAAAAGCCGCTGATTCCTATACACAATCATGTAAATTTCTCAGAAGCAGACAAATTGTTCTTATATCATAAAATGGCATAAAAGAAAGTTCTTGTGAGTGGGAAAATATTCGAAAATGAGATTTTCTCCATTGACATTCTCATTTAAAAGAAACACTAAAGTAGAAACCTTTATTTCTTTTTCTGGAAAACGAATTTAGCCAGAGATGGAAAAGACAGTAACCAAATTGAGAAAAGAAGAAGTAGAAGAAATACCTTCACTTTCTTGAGCAAATCATAACCAGTCATGCCAGGCATACAGTAATCTGTAATTATAAGATTTATTTCAACTTCCTGCTCAAAAGCCATAATCACAAACAAAATTTCAATAACCATTCATTGTAAATTCGAAAGTAACCAACTTTGAATCATGGAAAAGATCAAAAAATGAACCTGATGAATTTGGGGTGATGTAGAGAGTGCATTTGGGTCGTTGTCATCTACTCTTAAACCCAGAAATTCAAGAGCTTTAGAGCCTGAATCAACTGTAGTTACTGCAAAACATAAGAACAAGAACCAAAAAAAAAAAAGCTTTTTTTAGTATCTTCCCCTCTCTTTCTCCAATACATATAGCTTAAAGATTTAGACTTTTTTCGAATTTACCTTGACATGAAGACTTTTGGAGCAATCTCTCTATCATTTTCCGATCAAAAAGACTATCATCAACAGCTAAAACATGGAACTTTGACTCTGTTTCCACACCCATTGCCAGATATTCAATCGAAACTTTCAAGATCTGAATCTAAATTCGACAAAACCCAGATGCAAAGTTTCCAACTTTTTTTTTTCTTTGTTTCGTTTTTCTTATTTTAGAAAAAAAAAAAAAGTTTCCGTTTTTTTTCCCCGGAAATGTTGAGAGTTGTGTGAATGAGCTTGGGAGAAGAGGAGAAATAAAAGGGTCAGCCCAAATCTCGGAGAGGGAGAGAGAGAGACGAAAATGGAAATAAAACTAAAATTTGGATCTAGCTTTGGTTTAAGCAAGTTTTTTTAAGTATTAAAGTAAATTTCCAAGGAGACAAATGAGAGAAAGAAACTAGAGAAAGTTTGATAATGGATAAATAAATAATGGAAAGAAATCTACACGAAGATTTTAAAGGATTTGTTTATCCCACCAAAGACTTTTTTTTTAAGATAAGAGGATGAGGGATTTAATAATGTATATACTACTACAACCACATGCATTACTATTGGTGAATTTTAACAGCTATTGGAAAAAAAAATTAAAAGAACCGTTCATTATCAAAAAGAATTGTAGTTTAACGTTTTTTAAAAAATATTATACATTGATTAGCTACTTTTTCGTTATTTAATGTTCAAAAAACAAGATGTATCAAAGAGACTAAATTATAACGAAATATTTTTGTAATGACAATATTTTTTTCTTTTCGATTTTAATATCTGTTATACTAAGCTGCTGAGATGTCACCAGCTCAATAAATCGTTGAACCTAACTAAGCATTTGCTTATGAATTTTTAAAACATGGCACCGCGGCGATTTTGTCCAAATCGGTGAGAAAAATCGGAGATCCGATTTTTTGTCCGCCTAGCCCGCCTAGACGGCGCCTAGCCCAATTTTTTTTTTTTTTTTTTTTTTACTTTTTTTTTCATCTAAAATTCAAAACGTCCTATTTATGTTCGTAATTTGTATAAAAATCATAAATTTGAAATTAAAATCTTGTTTTCATGTGTTTAATACAATTTTAAAAACAATATTATATAAATTTCTTAATTATAATGGATTAATATGTTTTTAAAATATTAAATAGCCCTAAAACTAATCCCCGATTAATCCCCGTGTAATCCCTGATTTTCTTCCTAGGCGCTAGGCGCACCCTCACCGCCCGACTAGCGCCTAGCGATTTTTTGAACACGGGTTTTGTTTGGCTTTTGTAAGGAATTGGGCACTTGAGGAAGGTATGACTATTTGGGAATGCAATTAGTGTATACGATTTAACAGATCAATGTGCGAAGAAAAAAAAAAGATCAATAGTGACCAATCATAAAGAAAGAGTAGTATAAAATCCCAATTTTTTTTATAAAAAAATGGAATAAAATTTTGAAGGTTTATTAAGTACGTCAAGGCTGATTCGTTGATGTGTTTATTTACAATATTCAATTAGTTTCTATTTAAACTTTGCATAAAATTTCGAAATAATTTGTAATGGTCCTGATTGAAAGAGTGACTAGTGGAAAAGATTTTCGTCGGACCACAACATCGTCCCTATTTCTATTTCTTAGTTTATGTTGTGGGGTTTGTGTATTCATATGCGAGTCGATGTGACGTGTTCTGCTGCGTATCATTTACTTATTGGATGTAAATTTTATGTTGTTTTGTCTCATTTTTTTATGGGTATCAATATCATCTGCATATATAATCTTAGTACAAATGTGGTTGGTCTCGGATATAATATTCAATCAGTAAACTAAATTGGTAAATATTAGATATGAATATGGTGATTGGTAACATAATAATGTTACTAACGTCTAACGGTAATTTAGTTGTATTTTTCATCCCACACGTATCTTCTTTTTAATGGGATTCGTTAAAATCCACAATGTGGAAAATATATTTATATAGTATAAATGAAGTTTTATAGTCCAAGTATTATTGATACTATTTTTAAATGCTTTTCCATTCGCAAACCGTAAAATATATTAAATAGAAAAAAAATGTAACCTAAATGTGAAATAGTGTTTTGCGCTTATCGTATTATACTTGGAAATTAGATTCGTTGGCAAAAGAATAAGAAAATTTACTAATAGTTAGGTTGTGTGGTAGTGGCAAAGACATGACAATGTTCACTTGATTCTCTGCCAAAGATTTGCCTCACATGGTCATGCCCATCATCACCACTATCATCATCAACCATCATCTTTATATGGACGACACGTATCCAAAGTATGGTAGACACATGAAAAGTCCCTCCAATAACCATACTCTCTTATTGGTCTAGTGGGTTCCATATTGCTCTCTCACTTTCCACATTTCCTATCTCTTTTCTTTTTCTTTTTATACTGACAATTTCTGTTTATTTGTTATCCGCAGCAAAATGACAATGTATAAGACTATGGCTTTTTATTTGGTTTGTTGACAGACTATTGGCTATGCATGATATAAGGATCCTAGTAATCTCAATTTCTTAAACTAATATTGCACGTTTCACCTTTTTACCGCCACAAAATTATGACTGTACAAAACTAGCTAGCAAGTAGCAAGTGTACCACCACACTGAAAAATTGTCAAAAAAAAATTGAATCCAGCAATCGAAGAGATCAAGAAGCAAGAGTCAAAGGATCATGGCGTTGACTATAAAAGCGATTTGATGAAATTAATGGAGTGATCATGAAATTGTAATGCACGATGTGTCGGGAAGACATGCTTTCAATTTCAAAAAACCCTAAAAATAGTCAAATAGATCTTCCATCGAGATCTTGTCTCTTGAAACTTCAGCACAACCGTCCATGACTCTTTGATGATAAAGGACCCCTCCTCCTCTTCAAACACATTCATAACTTCATCATCACAACTTTTGACCCTACAATTTTACATAATGGACAAATTTGAAGAACACGACGTCTATTAATTAGTGCGGTAAGTGGATGTAAATCGGACCACACATACAATAACTGTAAAAGAAATAGTAAGAACAAATGCGTTAGTCAAAGTTAGTAAGTAATTCGTTGAGCTTTGTCTATGATCGTGTATTCGTGTGTAAGGTTTTGAAGTTCTAAATAAGATTTAAAACACGTAGTCTATTATCTCTAGCCTAAACAAATAAATTTCTTAGCGAAAGGTTAAAGAAAATAGGTGATTAAATTTTGATAAGTACATTTGACATAAAAGTTTTATGATGGATGAAATATTTATAATAATCTTTAAAAATGGTTAGAAATAGGACTGACGGTGACCAGCACCTTCCCCTGTCTTCGGGCTTTTTTGGCCTTCATGGTAGCTCTCAGTTTTTGTGTATTTCTTCTGTTTCTCAATGTTTTTCCAAAGTAAAAACAAAAACAATTGTTTTTTTATTTATCAAGAAATTAACCGGTTGGTGGAATCTTTTTGTGTCTTTATCAGATTGTCATGAGTCGTATTCTGAGCTCATTAATTGACGACGATAAAAACGTTTTCCGATTATTTATTATAACAAAATCAAGAATCCATGTAAACCAAACAAAAGTAAATATTTGACTTGTTCTACACATATATAATAAGTACATACGATCGTTACATTGAATTTTTCCTACTCTATGATTTGACTGGTTGAAAGAACGTATTGTATAATTATCATATCTTATCCGGCGAATATTTAGTATTTGACTTGTAATTTTGATATTGTTCTATATTAAGAACAAAATTATATCCAATGTGCAAAATAAAATAAGATTTAAGATTGGTATAAATGAAAAGTCAATGTCACGAATATTACTAACGCATCGAGAGACGTTGGCATGTGACATGATAGAAGATACGGTGGATCGTATCTGGTGGCGTCCATCTTTGCTTTATATATTTTTATTATTTAAATGATTAATACTAAAGGTATATAAACTTTTTCTTACGGAGTTTTAAGAAGTTTCTCGAGAGGAAAAAAAAACTGAAAAAGAAATTGCAAATGGAGTGTGCATCGCGATCGGTTGGATGCGTATTAGAAGTCTAGACTTCAGACTTTAATTGTGTAGTATGTTAACGTTATGGATTAGAGAATATGTTACTTAAAATCACCCAATTAATAGAAAAAAAAATTAATATCGCATTTTAGAAAACAACAACAATGGATGCGTATATTACGAGTGGTTGTACCCAATCGGTCTTATAGTTGACAAAATATATTTTTTTAAAAATATGTATCGATAAGCTCACACTATTATTAGTAAATGTCATTATTTGTTTCGGTGTGTATAAATTAGTATGGAATCACGTTAGCTCACGGTGATATCATTAACACTAACTAGATTATTATATAAAAGAAATGAGCTTATGTTCTTAATACGGTGAACCCAAACCTCAGCCATTATTTAAAAAAGATACGACCGTACGTTGAGATCTATTTTGAGAATATTAACAGCTCGACTTGTCGACAAAAATAATAAGAAACAACACGAGTTAATAACTTTTGCATATTCCGATAACTTCGGTTGCTTGTGCGATCTCATTTTTTCACAGATTTTTTTAATAGAAAACTAATGATATGAAAGTATCATGTAAAATAATTTTAGTAGAAACGTTGTTACCTTTTAGTCCCATAACACTAAAACGACGTCGTTGACTGCGTTTGTGTATACTGAAATCGCCATTACTTTACATCGTCCGATGACACTTGAAGAACTCTTTTACGTGTAAATAAGGGATAACAAAAGTTCATTTCATGTGAATTTTAATTAAGGTGAAACTGTAGATGATCCTTATTTTTCCTGTCCCCGAGATGGTTTCATCATTAGTCTTTAATCTGTATAAAATACTAAACCGAAATTTAAAATGCCCTTACAAGCGATGTTAGGACACAATAAACGGTATATGGCCAGTGCCCTTCCGATAGAGCACAGGGTCAAGGAAAAGGCAAATATTACACACCAAATCTTTATATTTTATGTTACGTATCATATAATACAATAAATAAATAACGATTATATGATTATGTTCGTGTAACTCTACCAACAAAAACTCTCCATTTGATTATAAAGCTCACATTAAACTCCTTTCTAAAGCCACAATTAATTTATTATATATTTATTTTGGTTGGTTTAGAATAATGTTATTATATCAAGGTGTAGATCGAGTTGTTTAGAGATCGATTTTGGTCTACACCTTGATATGGTATCTATAAGGTTTCTCATGCAAATATTTTTACCGCAATTATTGGGCCGATCTTGACATGTTATTGGGCTAATTGGACTTCAAATACAAGTGATTCGGCAGCATCTCCTATTTTCCTTTTTGATGTTATGATGGACAAAACAGTTAGTAATAAAGGACTTCTAATCTTACAAAACTTCTGAACTATTTCTAATCTTAGAAACTTCATACGCTGAAACTGTATAACTTCCATCAAAGCAAACGAGCCAAAAATCAATATTTCTAAACAAATCACCAATGATAGTTTTTCAAGCAATGACGGATCCAAATTGACGGCAAGTTATGAGTGAGGAGTTTGATGCATTAGTGAATGAAACATGAGATATCGTTAATTAACTACTTGTCGCAACTTTCTAATTGTTGTCTTAACCAGTAAGAAAATAAACTTCGTAAATGGGATAAAGCAGACTCTTAGCACGACAAAATAGTACAAGCTTTACAAAAACGTGAGGCAGACTCTTTTTCTTTCCACCTCAAAGAGAATAATTCTAAAAAGAAACATAAGACAGAGAGACACACGTAACAAAGTGAAAACAAAGTATCCCCATTCAAAATTAAACCAAATAAAATACAAGTTCTATATTTTCATCTCCCAAAGTGAGATTCTCACAGTTGAAAAGAGAAAATAGAAAAGAAGAGATTCTCACAATGCTATAGGTGCTTGTAGATCTTTCATCGTTGATTTATCAATAAAGAGAAGTAAAACTTTTTCCAAATCCAAAAAAAAAAAAAAATCCAACTATTTTAAAACGATTTTCCAACTAGAAATTTCGACGTGATGATAGTGTCACTGTTTTGCGTATCGTTATTTACATCTTAGTCTCCCTTTTCCAGTTCCCACATGTTGAAGGAACCAAATAATTGATTAGAAAACTAATTTTTATTTATCGATAAAGAAAATATTATTCTTAAAATGCATTAAAAAGAAAAAGAAAAAAAAACATGTAATTAAAAGTAGTAACATGGAATCGCTTCTCCTAATCGCTTATGCTTTTCTCTATTTATTCCTTGTCCCTCACGTATTCTCAAACATGAAACATCCAAATAACTACAAATCGTGCATATAATTAAGTAATTAACCATTCCAACTTACACTTAAAAACATATTTTTTTCTCGAAAGAGAAGACAAAGTAGAAAATAAATGCCGGTCAGTCGGAAAGTTCTAACGTGGGCCGTTGTGACGGCAGTTATGGCCGTCCTGGTCGTCTTCGTCGGTCCATACATCATCGGACCGGAGAGTATTGAGGGCTCGAAAAACGTCCTAACAATGGCGAGGACAATCCCCCTTCCCGTGGATGGACCGGAGAGCCTGGACTGGGACCCAAGAGGGGAAGGCCCATACGTTGGCGTAACTGACGGTCGCATCCTCAAATGGAGAGGTGAAGATCTTGGCTGGGTCCAGTTTGCCTACTCATCTCCCCACAGGTTTGTTTTAATTATATATGAAGTCATGCACAGATAAGTAGACCAATATCAGTATGCTTATAACCGATTGTTTCAAAGCAAAGTATTTGTGTTTAATAACTGGTTAAAATATTATATATTTATATCTTTTACAAACATTATACTCTTTTTTTGGTAAATTTTATACTGTTTAAAAACACTTACCAAGAATATTTGCTTATAGAGTGTAAATTTGTAGACAACACAAATATTTAACTAAATTTTAATTATGTGTTGTATATATAATTATATATATGAAGAGAGAACTGTTCGAGACATAAGGTGGAACCTGCATGTGGGAGGCCTTTGGGACTTAGCTTCGAGAAGAAATCGGGAGATTTGTATTTTTGTGACGGTTACTTAGGGATAATGAAGGTCGGGCCTAAAGGAGGATTGGCCGAGAAGGTCGTGGACGAGGCCGAAGGCCAGAAAGTTATGTTTGCAAACCAAATGGATATAGATGAGGAAGAGGATGCTATCTACTTCAACGATAGTAGCGATACCTACCACTTCGGGTATTCTAACATCACCTCTCTATTATTATTTCTTAAAAAAAACTGAAACCAAGATCTGGATTATTTTAGCGTTCTATATTGAGATGGTTAGAAATAATAGTTTTTATCTATGGAGCAGGGACGTATTCTTCGCGTTTCTTTGCGGCGAAAAGACGGGAAGAGCGATTCGATACGACAAGAAGACGAAAGAAGCCAAAGTTATAATGGACCGTCTACATTTCCCTAATGGTCTTGCCTTAAGCAAAGATGGTTCGTTCGTGCTTTCATGTGAGGTTCCAACGCAACTTGTGCATCGATATTGGGCCAAGGGACCAAAAGCCGGGACTCGTGACATATTCGCAAAGCTCCCTGGCTACGCTGATAACATCAGAAGGACTGAGACAGGGGATTTCTGGGTTGCCTTGCATTCCAAGAAAACTCCCTTTTCAAGGTTATCTATGATCCACCCATGGGTAGGGAAATTTTTCATAAAGACGTTGAAGATGGAGCTCTTGCTTTTTCTTTTCGAAGGAGGGAAGCCTCATGCCGTCGCCGTGAAACTTTCTGGCAAGACCGGAGAGATTATGGAGATTCTTGAGGATAGTGAAGGGAAGAATATGAAGTTTATAAGTGAGGTTCAAGAGAGAGATGGTAGGCTCTGGTTTGGGTCTGTGTTTCTGCCTTCAGTTTGGGTTCTTGACCGTCAGTGATTTATACGATTACATTATTTAAGTTTTTCAGTAAGTGCCATCATTGGCGAATATTTCCCTCTACATTAATACTTTCTCATGTGATGATAATTAAAGGTTTAAACTTTAAAGTTTTTTTTTGTATCCGGTTAGATATGCATTGAAATACCTCAAAACTCTTGATCTTATAAAATTTCTGAAATGTTGGTCCTTTCAATGCGAGGATCCATTTATCAGTTTGATTATGTTTAGAGTTTTTTTTAATTTGGGTCTTAATGTTAATATATCCAAATGAAAAGTAACTTGTATAAAATCCTACCTATAATCTCAAACTGTGAATATATTCTTGCCGACGAAAATGTTTTCTTTTATCTTTGTATTACTTGAAAACCAAGATATGCCTATATATGAAAAATAAATATAACATATACGAGTTTTCTTTTAAAAACTTTACAAGAAATCAGGAAATTGCGAGTCTACTGACCGGCCTGCGCAGTCCACTTACCATAATAGGCAGGATTAGAGTGGGATATTTGTATACATAAGGAGGTCACATTACTTTTTAGATTTCTTCCTTTAATTGGTTCTGATGTTTTTGGAATTGTTTGTTTGGAAGGATTTGATAACAAATACAATACAAACATAAAAAAAAAATGGTCAGAAATCAGAAGGCAACACAACGAATAGGTTGCCGAGTGGGGCTCATGCCGTTGTTTCTTCTGCCCACTGCCCCTTCTCCTGTCTATTCACTTCTTCCAACTTCCTTTATCTTACTTTTATTTTTATATTTTGTGGTAAAAATTTATGTTACATTTATACATATAATATTAAACTAATATTCGAACAAAAACATTTATTATTTGCTACAAGTTTTTACAAGTCAAACAAAAACATTTATTATTATAATTAATCTCGAAGCATTTTATTTCACTTTTGGTTTAAAATTTTTGAAATTGTTACGTCTCTCAATTCTCATCCTTTGATATTCTTTGCAAAGGAAATTTTATTTTCCATATAGATATTATTTTTGATGAATAACATTTACACTTTACCCAAACTTGTAAACTTGAATGGAAAAAAATAATATACAAAAGATAATCCTAAAATTTGACAATGAAGTAAATGTGGCCCCTCAATATCCGGCATTTGCAAGCAAATCATACCATCTACATGAATATATACCAAAATGAAATGCTTTATTAGGAAGAAAATCTTTGAACATAAAAAAATAAACATAAGATAAGACAAAAGAAAAATGGAAAATAACAACCGAGTTTATATCCTTTAACAAGAAGGAAATGAAACAGAAAAAGAAAAAATAACAAGCGAATTACGGATCCACAAATCCCAAGAATACAAAAATTTTAATTCCAAAAGAATATTTTGACACGAAATCGACATGTAGAAGATAAACTATTAATTATTTCTGACACCTTATATATATAACCACCATAACTCTTACCACCACAAAAACAAAACAAAAAACGAACATTATAGGGAAAAAAATCTGAAGAAAATGATGAAACTCCTCTTGGTGGTGGCAATATCTTTTGCCCTTCTCTTTAGCCTCACTGATTTTTCCGGTGAGAGACCAAAACATGGAGATTCCATGTTGACAGTCCAATTCCCTGATTTCCGTCTGATTCCGACCACCGGAGCTTTGGGACCGGAGAGTTTTGTCTTCGATTTTTCCGGTGATGGTCCTTACACCGGTTTATCTGACGGTCGAATTGTTAAGTGGCTAGCTAATGATAGCCGTTGGATCGATTTCGCCGTCACCACCTCCACAAGGTACTCACAAATGTCTCCTTCATTTTTTTTTATAACTTTGATTGGAGTTTTTGTTTCGTCGTTTAGTTTTTTGGTTTTAACTCCTTCAATTGTATCCACCAACTTCCTCTGTCCCATCGAAATTATTGACTTACTTATCAGAACAACAAAATGACCTCCTTTGCGTAACAAAAAATAAGAATGATAGCATTACCTCCTTTGCATTTCTAACAATGAAGGAATTCATTGAGTTGTTTGATCGTTTAATTTTTTTAATTTATGACAGTTAGTTATTATTCCTGACTAAACGATGAAAGGTACTTCTTTTGTTTCTGCATATGTACTTCAACTTTTCACGTGGTCAACTTGGTTGTTTTTAAAATTGCAAATTTAACTTTCTGAATCACAATTTAGCATGCATGTGAAGTTCCCATTTTGGGGCATTCTAAAACTCAATTGCTTGTGCAAATATTTGTGTATTTTGACTATGAAAGTTAATTGCTTCTTTAGTTTTTCATGTGTTGTGAAACGTTGTAATGTTTTTAAGAAATGTAAATTAAATGCTGACAGCTAAAGAAGGACAGAGGAGTAACAAAATGGAATGCATAGAATGTGTTATTGACTTTTGGTGGTCCGGGTTTGCTAGCAAATACTCTTCTGACACATTTCACATAGATAAAAAATATATATTCAAAATATACCACTACTTTAAATGGTGATGACTTAAGTTTAAAGTTTATGAGTATTGGGTAAAAGATAAATTATAAATTTGATTTGAAAGGCCACATTAACAATACGAAACAATGTTTGTTTGAGAAAAAAGAAAAAAAAATCTCCTACAACAACATTTTTTTTGTTGTGAAACCGAGAGAGTGGAAAATAAAAGTTATCTATCTCTCTTAGAGCATCCACAGTGGTGAATGTGTTAGTATGGGTGTAAATAATTTTTTAGTATTATAATTAGAGAGAGAGAAAAGAGAGAGATAGAGAGAGATAGAGACAAGAATATTTTTTCCCTTTTTATAATGCCCACACCCAAATGCAACTCTACATGTGGGTGTTGTTGAAAAGCCACTTTTTGCATTATTTTTCTATATTAAATTACATACACCCGACGCCTACATGCGCCACTGCGCTTGGTCTAAATAGTTCTGAAGAATAATTAATGATGGCAAATTTATGTTTTGTTTGATACAATGCAGAGAAGGTTGTGAGGGCCCGCACGAGCACCAACGAACAGAACACGTGTGTGGACGACCATTGGGCCTTGCCTTTGACAAATCCACTGGTGACCTTTATATAGCCGATGCTTATATGGGCCTTCTTAAAGTTGGCCCAACAGGTGGTGTAGCCAATCAAGTTTTGCCACGTGAGCTGAATGAGGCCCTTCGATTCACCAATTCATTGGATATCGATCCACGAACCGGAGTTATCTACTTTACCGACAGTAGTTCGGTTTATCAGCGGAGGTAAAACTATGTGGAATTAAATTATTAAATTATCTTAAATAGATAACATGTTTATATGACGGATTAGTGCGTAATTTGTTAATTTAAATTGTTACTATTTTCAGGAACTATATAGGGGCGATGATGAGTGGGGACAAAACCGGTAGACTGATGAAGTACGACCCAAATACGAAACAAGTGACCACTCTTTTAAGCAACCTAGCGTTCCCAAACGGCGTCATTTTAAGCCAAAACGGTGATTACCTTCTCGTCGTCGAGACCGCCACGTGTCGAATTCTACGTTACTGGCTCAGCGCCACGTCGACGACGTGTAAATCTCGCGAGAACTACGAGATTTTCGCGGAGGGGCTCCCTGGGTTTCCTGACAACATAAAGAGAAGTCCACGTGGCGGATTCTGGGTAGGCTTGAACACGAAACACTCAAAGCTGACAAAGTTCGCTATGTCGAACGCGTGGCTTGGACGCGCCGCTTTAGGCCTGCCGGTGGACTGGATGAAGGTCCATTCGGTTTGGGCCAAGTACAACGGGAACGGCATGGCCGTGAGGTTGAGCGAGGATAGTGGCGTAATTTCGGAGGTCTTCGAGGGTCAAAAAGGACATAAGTGGATATCTATAAGTGAGGTTGAAGAAAGAGATGGAACTCTTTGGGTTGGATCGGTAAATACTCCTTTCGCTGGCATGTATAAAATCTAAAATTGATTAATACAGATATGCTTTTCCAACATTATAATTCATACATAATTGGAAGATATATGCCCCTTGAATAATGATTTTATAGTAGAAGCAGTTATTATTTATTCTTAATTTTTAGGATAATAAGTCTACATAAGTCTACATTGCATGCATACAAACATAGAGAGTTTGTGTTACATGCCAAATCATGGCTTAGCTTCTTCCTTCTTCTTCTCTTTCTCCGTGGCCATTATCTTCTTGGAACAACAAGCACTGCACTGTCCATATGCATAGCTTCCACAGCAACCGTGCCTACATCCACGGCGTTGTTGGGGCTCAACAGTTTTCACAACTTCCTTGGCCTCGGCTTGACTCATGCAGCAGTATATGCACCCTCCATACCACCACCCACCGCAACATCCGAACCTACAACCACCACCCCAGATTTGCTGGGGCTCTACAACAGCGTCATTGGCCTCGACTTGGGCTTCCTCGATCTCGGGTTTAGGTTCACGTTGTTGCGGCTCTATGGCATCGCTTGCTTCAGTACTTGGCTTCACTTCATCTTTAGCTGCACGTGTGATATACATGTTATACATTATGGATCAAATATTTTATCATCAGTTGTGCGAAAGTGTAAAAGGGAAATTATAAATATAGAGTAGTACATACCGTTGGATGTGTCCGCAAATACAGCGAGGGAGAGAGAAAAGAGCAAAGCCAAGAGAGCGAGAGACTTGAGGTTTCCCATTTTTTTTTTTCGTTACACTAAACACTTAGCATGAGCACAGCACATCTATCTATTTATAGTTGGCCAGCAAAACTTGGCGACAAGAAACCAGTCAACTATGTCGAGTGATAGAAGATAATGACATATATATTTATGGGGATATTTCTAGAAAGACAATGTAACAAATAAATCATATTAAAAATCTTTACAAACCATGATAATAGATATGATCGAGAAGAGTCTCGTAAACTGATGAAAATGGAGGACACTTGAGACGTTTTATTTATTAATTAGTTCACTCTTTAACAAATTGCAATCGTTTCCAAAACAATTTTAAGGTATGTTTGTCAATTTGTGGACAACATACTGTAGCTCTGAAAACTGAAACGTAAGTTGTTATATTTGCAAGTAACAAATCAGATTTGAGTTATTTAGTTTATGAACAGATAAAAACATGAAATGATTCTTTTTAATTTGCTTACAAGAAGAGGAGTCTAATACATAACTGTTAGCCAAAATTCTGAAAAGTTATTGAATTTATCTTTTTTTATCCTTTTTCATACTGAAATATTCACTCGAGTAAAATATTTCATATATCATATATTAAAATACCTGTTTAATTTTAATGTATTAAATAATGACAGGTTAATGATAAGTTGACAACATCAAAAAGATAATAAATTAATAATCATATGGTTAATTAATCGGCTGGAAAAGACTCGAATATATTTTCTAGGACCAAAATCAAATTAACACTACATTTTAACAGATGTTTTTTTTTTTTTTTGTGTGGTCCAAAACCCATAAATAAGAGTTGAACGTTGAAAGCGATTTCAAGCTTCCAGAGGTTCAACAGCTAAACTCTTCTCTGTGGTTCCATGTGTAAATGCCATGCTCTTCACATAACCTATGGGAATTACACGTGTCCAACTAACTAGTCACAATGTCCAACTCTTTTCAAACCCACCGTTCGAAATGATAATGTTAGCTTCTATACATTCCAAAAACGACCGTTGGGCCTTGCCTTTGACAAATCCACCGGTGACCTTTATATCGCCGATGCTGATATGGGCCTTCTTAAAGTTGGCCCAACAGGTGGTGTGCCCAACCAGGTGTTGCCACGTGAGCTGAATGATGCCCTTGGGTTTACCAATTTGGATATCGATCCACGGACCGGAGTTATCTACTTTACAGACAGTAGTTCGGTTTATCAACGGAGGTAAAATTGTAGAAAATTAAATTAACTTAAATAAAGAGCATGTTTATATTAATAAAAAGAGCATGTTTATATGATGGATAGGAGTGTCAAATTGGTTAAACCAAATCAAACCAACCCATATCCATATTGATTTAGTGTTTAATGGTTAATGAATCAATCCAATTCATTTAGCAAATGCTTTGGATTAACCCATAACTCATTTAAATGAATGGATTAATGGATTTAATGAGTTGATCCATAACATTGATTTATTTTGACATCCCTAATGATGGATTAGTGCGTAAATTGATTTATTTTCAGGTTTAGGGGTGATGATGAGTGGAGCAAACCCGGTAGACTTATGATCCAACAATTGACCACACGTCTAAGCAACCTAGTGTTCGCAAACGGCGTCGTTTGTAGCAAAAACGGTGATTACTTTCTCGTCGTCGGAACCACCACGTGTCGAATCCTACGTTACTGGCTCAACGCTACGTCGATAATGTCTAAATCTCGCGAGAACAACGAAATTTTCGCGGAGAGACCCTTGGCTTTTCCAACAACGAAAAGAGAAATCTACGTGGCGGATTCGGGGTAGGCTTGAACACGAAACACTCAAAGCTAATAAAGTTCGCCATATCGAACGCGTGGCTTGGACGTGCCGGTTTGGGCCTACCGGTGGACTGGATGAAGGTCCATTCGGTTTGGGCCAAGTAGGCAAGTACAAAGGGAACGGCATGGCCGTGACCCGTGAGTAGTGGCATAATTTCGGAGGTTTTCTCAGGGTAAAAAAGAAAATGAAGTAATCTATTCGTGAAGTTGAAGAAAGAGTTGGCATTCTTTGGGTTGGATCGGTGAATAATCGTTGGCAATCTGGCATGTATAAAATCTAAAATTGATTAATACAATATGCTTTTCCAACATTATAATTCATACATAATTAGAAGATATATGCCCCTTCCCTTTAATACATGATTTTATAGTAGAACCTTTAATACATGATTTTATAGTAGAATCAGTTATTATTTATTCTTAATTTTTAGGATAATAAGTCTGTTTAGTACCAGTTTATATTAACCTATGGCTTTTACTGAGCTAATTAACTAGCTAGCTACATGCATCATGCATGCCTTTTAATAATTTAAAATTTAAATTGTGAACAAAATATTATAAAATATAAACCATGATTGATATTAAAACAGTTGTTATAATTTTATAACATCCACGAGAAAAACACTACATAACAAAATACATATTATATGAACCTACGGTTTATTTTTATTGAGCTCTAGGTACCTTCTTAGGCACTATTTTTGTTTTATTTTGACATACGTACTGGTAATTAGCCATGCATACATGCATACAAACATAGAGTTTGTGTTACACGCCAATTTATGGCTTAGCTTGTTGGGCCTCAACAGTTTCAACAACCTCGTTTGCCTCGGCTTGAGTCCTGCAACAGTATCTGCACCGTCCACGCCACCACCCACCGCAACATCCATACCTACAACCACCACGGCCAGCGCCGCCACCGCCGCCACCGCCGCCCTGCTGAGGCTCAACATCGTTGGGCTCAACAGTTTCAACAACTTCGCTGGCCTCGGCTTGAGTCCTGCAGCAGTATCTGCACCGCCCACGCCACCAGCCACCGCAACATCCGTACCTACAACCACCACGGCCACCGCCGCCACCACCGCCACGGCCACCCTGCTGAGGCTCAACATCGTTGGGCTCAACAGTTTCCACAACTTCGCTGGCCTCGGCTGGACTCCTGCAACAGTATCTGCACCGCCCACGCCACCAGCCACCGCAACATCCGTACCTACAACCACCACGGCCACCGCCGCCACCACCGCCACGGCCACCCTGCTGAGGCTCAACATCGTTGGGCTCAACAGTTTCCACAACTTCGCTGGCCTCGGCTGGACTCCTGCAACAGTATCTGCACCGCCCACGCCACCAGCCACCGCAACATCCGTACCTACAACCACCACCACCCCAGCCTTGCTGGGGCTCTACAACAGCGTCATTGGCCTCGACTTCGGCTTCCTCGATCTGGGGTTTAGCTTCACGTTTTTGCGGCTCTATAGCATCGGTTGCTTCAGTACTTGGCTTCACTTCATCTTTAACTGCACGTGTGATATACATGTTATACACCATGGATCAAATATTTAGTCATCAATTATGCGAAAGTGTAAAAGAGAAACTATAAATATAGTGTTGTACATACCATGTGTGGCATCGTTGGATGTGTTCGCAAAAACAGCGAGGGAGAGAGAAAAGAGCAAAGCCAAGAGAACGAGGGACTTGAGGTTTCTCATATTTTGTTTTCGTTACACAAAACACTTAGCTTGTTTGATTTGTTGAGGGAAGATGATTTTGTTAGTGAAGAGAGTATGAGCACAGCACATCTATTTATAGTTGGGCCGCAAAACATGGCGACAAGAAACCAGTCAACTATGTCGAGTGAAGGAAGATAATGACATAGAAAACTGGTTGAGAAATATTATATTTAAGGGGATATTTCTATATAGAAAATGTAGAAAATAAATCATATTAAAAAAATCTCTATAATCCATGACAATAGTAAAAAATCTCTATAATCCATGATAATAGATATGATCGAGAAGAGTCTCATAAACTGGTTGAGAAATATTATATAGGATCTTTAATGCTACATATGAAGTTTTTTCTACCCTTCTAGTTTTTTTCCGCCTAGTTAAGCTTTAGCAGCTTAGCTAAGGTGAATAGCTTCTATTCAAAATTCATAATTTTAACATCTATACATATTTGTCAATTTATTTATCGAATACTAATTTTGCAAGCATTTTGGAATTGAGGAATTTGTTTGATAATCCAATTGTGGAGTCTAAGTAGGTAAACAACTTTGTTATATAGGTTAATTGAACGATGAACATAATTACATCAGAAATTTTTATTAGAAACTCACGTTTTATTTTATTAATTAGTTCGCTCTTTAACAAATTGCAAGCGTTTCCAAATTCTTAAAGGTGTATTTGCGAAGTTGTGGACAACATATTTGCAAGGAACAAATCAGAATTTGAGCTATTTAGCATTATGAACGGATAAAAACGTTAATATTGTTATTTTTGAAATTGCTTACAAGTAGAGGAGTCATGATCAGTATTTTGATACCAATACTTAACTGTTATATAATACTATGTCACTTTTTTTGTTAAAAAAATATATTAATCGATGTCACAAATATAGTATTAATACAACAAAAGTCGAAACTAAATATGGATCGTTTTTCCGTCTTTGAACATTATTCTTCTATTACAGAAATGTTAGAGCTTTGGTTTTTAGTTCCAAGAAAAGTTAAAAACATAAACTTTAAAATTGGTGACGTTTTAACCACTAATTTTGAAAATATCGATTAAATTCTTAAGCTTTTGTTGATTTTATAAATAAATAATGAATTATTGTTAATTTGGTCATTTAAAACATGTCGTTAAATAAACAAACAAAAATTTCATACCAAAAAAAAAATAGACAAACAAAAATTCTAACATATGGTTATTACCGTAAATGGGTTATATCTATCTATTTAATGATATACCTCAAACGACCAAATTAATAAAAAATTCGTTATTTATTTATGAAATTGACAAAAAAAAAAATAATTTAATTCATATTTTCAAACTTAGATATTCAAAATTTTCAAATTTATGTTTTTTTTTGTTTGACATCGTTCTCGTTTACTATCATGCATATCTCTTCGTCACTCACTAGTGAACAAATGGAATTAATATCACAATTTCAACGGATATAGTTTTGTCAACTAGCAGTATACTCATGGATATATATGTTCCACGCTAATAATAATATATATTTTTAATTTAAATAAATAAATAGAATGCTGACCAACTAAAAATTAATCACTATCTCCTACCAAAAAAAATAAATTAATTAATCACTATCTTCTCAAACTTCTCAGATCTCTATATATAGTATCTAATATCGATTTATAAACCAGTATAATTAAGCCACAAACTAAGAATAGCCAAAACAAATTAAGAATTATTTAATAATTTTTTATCCTTTTTCATACTGAATCGAATAAAATATTTCATATATCAAATACCTATTTAATTTAATGTATTAAAGTAATGACAGGTTAACGATAAGTTGACAACATCAAAAATAATTGAGTACACAAATTAACACTACATTTCAACAGAAATGTTGGTTTTCTTTTTTGTGTGGTCCAAAACCCATAAATTAGAGTTGAACGTTGAAAGCCATATCAAGCGTCGTGAGCTTCAACAGCTAAACTCTTCACTGAGGTTCCATGTGTAAATACCATGCTCTCTACATAACCTATGGTGCTTACACGTGTCCAAGAGTAGTCACAAAGTTCTACTCTTGGACTTCAAACCCACCGTTCGAAATGATAATGTTAGCTTCTATACATTCCAAAAAAACAATCGCACAATCCCAATTCAAACTCTCCCTTGTTTTGGAAATACACTAAAATTGATCGAAATGCCCAAGCCTCTGTGGTCTAGTGGTAGAGGAAGCTTTGGTGAAGGGTGAAACTCCCAGACCCGAGTTCGATTCTCCCTGGAAATAAAAACACATTTGTTTGGGAAGTCTGTCAGTTGGGCTTTGGCCCAATTGGTTTACCTGGTAGTCAGAAATGCAGGCGGCCTGACTACCCCCTGGCATTAGTCGGAAGGCATTCCAAACTCGGATCAGGCAGTGTGGTGGCCCAATTCTACATGGATCGGGAGAAGTCCACTCTGTAGCACCTCGGTGCGTTCCTACCGAAGCCGACCGGATCAGCCGATAGGGTTTATCAAAAAAAAAAAAAAAAAAAAAAAAAAAAATTGATCGGAATGGAAAAACATAAAAAGGATTAGAAACAGAAAACCAATATGAACCGACCGGTATAGGCGATGGAACTGAAATACCTCTACTTGACCAAATTCAACATTTATCTGATAAAATAACCTAACCAAACCATTTTATTTTTTTGTCGACAACAACCAAACCATTTATAAGCAAGAGAAGATGCTAGGATATTCATTAGAAAACGTTACTACACTTTTTAAAAAAACCCTTTTTAGAAATGGGTATAGAACGTTTAACGTTTCTACGTTAGACACTCGAGTTCAGAGGGATCTTCATTAGCTAAGGCGTTTCATCTATTTTTTTTTTTCTTTTTTTTTTTCTTTTTTTTGCGTTTCATCTATTTTCCGAGTTCAGTGATCCCTTTTGAACCCTTGATGTTCTTCTTATTGTTATTTTACTAAATTAACTTTTTAAGTAAACATTGATGCACTTGATGAATAAACAAGAAAATTTTGACTGGAAAAGAAAACACAATCATCCTAGCATTTCGATAAGTTTCTGTTATAACGTATATCATGCGTGATTAAAATTACAAAACTTAAACCATAAATAAGGTATGATAAGAAACTACTCACTGTCGAACTATCATATTTTATGAATCGAGAACCGGTGTCGACCAACACGAGAAAATCACTTTATATACCACCGCTTGGTTTATTTGATGGTTTAGTCAAGTACGATCCTATGATCTTACTTGGAAGATTTTAACACTTTCATATGAGTCAATATTTCGCTAAGCATATAGGTGTACGTAGTGTACTTATGTAACCAAGAAAAACAAGAGAAGTTCTGGGCCGTCACCAATATGGATATATAAGACAGGCTCACTAGGCCACTGAATCTCCATCTTATGAACTATTTGAAAACTACTTCATAGCGTATGAGTTTAACAAAATTTATTGATCTCATTCTCATCTAATAATTCACCACCAAAATTTCAGATCAATATAATTTTGACAAGTAATATATACAAGCGTTTAACAATCCTATAGAAAACTTTTGTAAACTACAGATCATATTTATACGTTTTGTTTTCTTCTTCTTCCAAAACCCATGTTTATGCGTTGTATAACTCTATATGGGATAAAGAAGTCATAGACTAAATTCTAGCCACAAAAAAAACTTATTTTTTTTTTTTAGTATCATAAACATTAACAAATGTAGAGTTGATAGCTCAAGCGGGTTGAATCGAGAGTCATGTTTTAGAGAAAAACGGATCAAATCTTAAGTTTTAGTGGGAAATGATAAATTCACATGTTATCGATCTGGTCCAAAATAATACTCCCTCCGTATTTTAATAAGTGTCGTTTTAGGATTTTCTTTTTTTAAAAATTAGATGTCGTTTTCAAATTTCAATGCAAAATTTTTTATTTTTTAATGTTTTATGATGTCATAAAACATTAAAAAGTAAGAAATTTTGCATAGAAATTTGAAAACGACATCCAATTCAAAAAAATAAAAATTCTAAAACGACACTTATTAAAATACGGAGGGAGTATGAGTGTAAAGGAAAACTTCTTGATTAAAAGAAGAAAACAGTAACAGCAGAAAGCAGCTGCTTTAATTTTAATACAAAAAAAAAACAAAGTTCTGAAAATATTTGGATTTGTCAATTGTAAGTACACTTATCAACAATGTAACGTCGTTTTTGAACATTAGAGCAATGGCACTCAAAATTCTCCAAAATGGGTCCAATTATGGATTTCTGTTTCCTTATCATCAGACTTTTCTAATCTTCTTTAACATCATGATGTCTTATATCAGATAAATCTAAACGATTCATTATATATCCAAAGAAATACTAAACCCAAATCTGATTTTGTTCGTTCTTCCATACGAAATTAACCAAAAAGCTCATTAAATAAACCAAAACAACCAAATTTAATTTTGGAAGATTATTTAACAAATTTTGTGGAACTGAAAATTTCCGTTAGCCACCTCGGTGAGTTGTTATTTTAGTCAATCAACTTATGCATAAAATGGCCCAAACCTATACTCTTAAAATGTGTGGCCCATATTTGTCAACATGTGGGCCCGTTTGTCAATTTCTAAGCCACGTATCCGAAGAGGCCCCTCTAAAATCGACCGTTTATTCATTTGTATCCTTATATTACTTTCCATGGCACATAATTGGTCAGGGCCCAATTGCCCACTTTTTTCTTTTCATGACCCTTAATTTTATCCAAATGAAGCATACCGTTTTCCCACTAAATAATATCCTCTCGATGTGAAAATAATACAAGTAAACTAAACTAGTTGTATGCATTCATTCCTTTTTTTTTATTGGCTAATTTTATGTTTCAAAATGATTAATAGATCATCAATCAAACAAGTAGAGAAGTTTGTATTGTTTAAGAATGCATGTAAAACACCGATCCATTATCATCAATAGAATAAGATAAATAATTCTGATTGAAAAAGAAAGAATGATAAATCTATTTTATTAAAGAAAAAGAAAGAGAAAGCTATACGTTTGTGTCAAGAACATTATTTTAATCTGGATCTGAACTTTAATATGATTATAAATACTCATATGGTTTAAAATTTAAAATTAAAGAGTGTAACAATTGTTTTAAATAAAAATGCCACATCATCAGTACCTCTGATTATTGGATAGGGTAGAAAAACTGTAGACGGATAATAATATGAAAGGGTATAACCGTAATAACGCATATCTTTATGGGTAATGCGTTAAAGATTCTTCTTCTCCTTTTATAATCCCGAGAAGAAGCCGAAGACAACGGAACAATCAAATCACAGAGAGAAGCTAATGGCGTTGTTAAGAATCAGGAAGGCGACGACGACACTTCTCTATTCCGGTGGGCTTACTCATGGGACGGATCGGATCGCCAGAACCGGAGCATTGCTGAGCCGTTGGATCTCCTCTGCTTCGTCATCTTCCGCTGTTGTGGCGGAGGATGAATCTGGTGGGATTTACGGATTGGGAAGTGTATTGAAGGAATATGAAGATTATAGAAGATCTCTTTATGGTGAGATCACGCATAAGGCTTTGCTTGTTGATGCTGTTGGTACTCTCCTTGTTCCCGCTCAACCTACGGCTCAGGTCTCTCAACATTCTCTGTTTTCTTTGTGATTCAACGATTCCAAAAATGCTTCACATGTTTATTGCTCTGTGATTGAAATTTTTCACGAAACTATGAACATATGTTGGATTGAAGCTTGATCCTGAGTATGGTTAATCAAAATCGATGCTTATTGTTTGAATTTTGTTGTGTTGGGAATGTGAAATTGTGAAGTGCTTACTATGATCTCTGCTTGTTCTAGAAGAGTAGATATAGATTTTCTGTGTTTAGATTCTAAGTTGTGTTATGGATTCTGATTTTGTAGATATACAAGAATATTGGTGAGAAGTACGGGGTGGAGTACTCGGAGGCTGAGATACTTACTAGATACAGAAGAGCTTATCAGAAACCATGGGGCGGATCTCATCTTAGGTATGACTTATCATCTTTTTCCTCTTTGTGTTTCTTCTACTCCAAGAAAATCACCACTAGTCAAAATGTTCTCCTGTGGGCTGTGGCTTTCTATTCGTTTGTATGACAAATTCTAATACTTGATCATGAATATGTCTCTAGTGATGCATATCATGTTTGAAAACTGACTCTTTGGAATAAACATTTGCTGTAGAATCTCTGTAGGATTCATAAATGTCTTCTGGTTAAGAGCGATTTGGTGTGTGGTGTTCTTGATTTTTGATTCTTTATTTGCAGATATGTAAACGATGCGAGACCTTTCTGGCAATATATAGTGACTGCATCAACAGGCTGCTCGGATTCTCAGTACTTTGAAGAGCTTTACAGTTATTTTACTACAGAACAGGTTTGCTCTCCGCTACTACTTCTCTATATGCTTCAGGAACGCTTTTATATATTGGTTCTTTATCTTGACATTTCTCCATTTGCTTTCCCAGGCTTGGAAGTTATGTGATCCAGATGCAGGGAAAGTGTTCAAGGCTATTAAAGAAGCGGGTGTAAAAGTTGCAATTGTTTCCAACTTCGATACTCGGTTAAGACCTCTCCTACGTGCACTGAGATGTGAAGACTGGTTTGATGCTGTAGCTGTTTCAGCAGAAGTAACATAACTTCTTTTCCTTTACATCTTCTGGTTGATGATCCGATACGTTTTGGGAGTGAGTGTGTAAATACTTAAGGTTTTTGGTTAATTGTTTCACAGGTTGAAGCGGAAAAACCAAACCCGACTATCTTCTTGAAAGCTTGTGAGTTATTAGAAGTGAATCCCGAGGATGCGGTTCATGTAGGAGATGACCGTAGGAATGATGTATGGGGAGCTAGAGACGCAGGCTGTGACGCTTGGCTCTGGGGAAGTGAAGTTACTTCATTTAAACAGGTAAACGAATCTCGCTGGTTTCGCTCACATCTCTCAAGAGTTTAAAAATCATTGGTTAACTTGAAATGAATGTGTTTTTGTTTTGTTCTGCAGGTTGCTCAACGGATAGGAGTGAAGGTCTGAAGCAAAGCATGAGAGAAATGGTTCAGACATGTTCAGACTTCAGTTTTAGCTTCTTCTTTTTTTGTGAGCAGTTTTGTACATTTGATTTCTCTTTTGTAGCATACTGTGTGTAATATATATGTTGCCGCTAATGTAGAACACCAGAAAACAATGTATAATAAAAGATCAATAAAGCTCCATGATCATTCTTAATCCGAGCAGAAGTATTGTACTGTTTTCGACATTTGCTTATATAAGATTACAAACATCAAAAGTGACTACAATTAATATCATTACATAAACTAAAATATTATTTCAGAACAAAAGATAAAATATCATTTGAATAAGCATATAAAACCCACACTAATTAGTAATTAATAAAATAAAATTAGAATAAGCATGTAAAAAAAACATGCTACAAATTAAAAAATCTTCTTCAATTTTCAGCATTTTAGGTCGATTCATGTTTTGTCCCGTCACCGTTAGTGTGCCAAGGTCGAATTAAAACCTATATACTCAACTCCTAACATGAGTGGCCTAACTAAGAGTTATCTTAGGGCCCATCTGTTTTAGAGAAGCCCATTTAGATCTTTGGATTTAAAGGGGCCTAACTAGAAAAATGAGGAAAATATCCCAAATATCGCCGTCTCTTCTTTAACCTCGTCCGTGGATAGAATAGAATCAAGGCTTTTGGCACCGAGATGACCGGAGTTGACTTCTGTATGTACTGCACACTAATAAAAATGACTAGTTATATAGACACTACACCATATAAGATCTAGTTTTTTTTTTTTTTTGTTAAAAGATATACCATATAAGATCTAGTTAATATTTGGAAATATTTTGATTGCGGTAAACCCTTTTAAACAAGTATCGGATCTGGTTAGAAAAACAAAAGAAGATCCTTGTAACGTGCCGTCTCCATCAGTAAAACGGAAGAGAGATGTTCGCGATTCGCTTTCTCTCTCTCTATCGGTTGCGGTTCCGATCGGGTGGAGACTCCTTTCGCAACTCCGAATTATTGGTGCTCATAGGATCCTGCTCATGGGTTCTTATGCTGGGAGGTTGAAGGGAAAGGCTTTCTCTCTCTCTTCTCTCTCTAAAAATCTTTCAGAGAAGAGAGAAAGCTGCTTCTTTTTGTTTAGCCGATGTTGGCTGGCTTGTTCCTTCTCCGCGTTTGGGCTGTTGTCTCCCTCGTTTGGGCTGTTGTCTCCGGCGTTTTCGCCTGTCTCTGCGGCGTTTGCGGCCGGCTTATCTCCGGTCTCCTTGGCCGGCCTTTATCGCTCGATTGGTTGCGGTTTGCTTTTGATTGATTTCAAAAGCAATTGAGTTTGTTTTCTGACTTCTCAGCCGTTTGCTTTTCGAATTAGTTTGTTTCTCGTCGGCTTGGTTATGTTTAAGTCTATCCAGAAAGTCTATCCGGCTTTGTGTCCACAAAGTCTTGTCTTCGTGGGTATTTTAGGATGGTTTCAATCTTTGGCTTGGTCTTCATATGAGAATTAGATGGTTTGTTGGCCCTTTCTCTAAGGTCTGGTAGTACGTCTTAGACGTTTGGTCCGGTTTTAGTGGCTCTCAGTCTCTAGTTCTATATCATTGGTGTAGTAGGTGTGGTAACATGGTCTTGCTGTTTGTGGTGTGGATTGTGGATTGTGCTTCTCTTGATAGTGGAAGCTCCAGACTAGGTTTATTTGTTTGCTCTGAGATAGGGAGTCGATCTTCCATCAGCTTTCCTTCTCGTTGTAGTTGGTGTTTCCCATCTTGGTTTATTTCGCAGACTCATCCTTGTTCTCTCGTCTGCGTCATTTGGGTTTGAATTTGAGAAGCGGGTCGTTGAAGTTGTTACTTTCCTTTCAAGCTTTAGGATCTCAATGGTCGAGACTCTTGCAGAAGTTTCGGGTTGTTTCAATTGCACTCATGGCTCTGCCGGTCGCGCGTTAAGTGTAAAGGTTCCTGGGACAGGGGTTAAGTGAGAGATTCGGTCAACCCTCTTTTAGTCTTTTATTTTCTGTTAGAATTTCTGCTAGATTTGCTCCTTCTATTAAGTCCTTGTTAGTTTGATGCCAAACTTTGATCCATTCGAGCTTGCTTACGATTGTTTAGTTTGTTATCTTAATTTCTCTGTCTGTCTCTCTTTCTTAGAGCTTGTCTCCAGAGAATATTTGTATTCTGCTGGATTTCAACTCCGAGACCTTGTAATAGGCTTGACTTTTTACTAGTTGTATTGGCTCCATAATATATAAAGAACACTATTGTGAAAAAAAAAAAAAAAGATCTAGTTAATATTTAAATAAGGAATTTGTTCAATATAAATAAACACGCAATGCATATGTACATGATTACTGGTTACTTGCTACATTTACATAGATATGGTTGGATTCAGGAGAAAAGCCTTAACATATTCCACGTGATTTGCTCGTGCCTGTCAATATTCCACGTCCGCTAAACCTGTGTATTCCCGTGTATTGTTCTCAGTGTCTGTCTCTTTTCTTCCGGCTGCATCATAATACATTTTGTTTTGGTTTTAATGTAAGTTTACTTAACGTACTAACATATAATATTGTATGTGTTCTTAAATAATTGTTCCTATTTAACTGTTATTTTTTTCTTCATGTTAACTAAAAATCATTAATTTGCTCATTAAATCGAATTTATCTTTTGTCATATCAGAAAAAATTTAGAGTTTTTGGTTTATACTCGTATATTCGCGCAAACTATACGACAACAACACTAGCTAGTATAAACTATTATGTTATAACTTTAGATAAGAACATTAAGATTTTAATATCTCTGTAGAAAATGCATGTATCTGTAGGTCAACAGGTGATCATTCGAACATGCTCCTACTTGGGGAAAAAGTGCTCAACCACGTGTCAACGCATGTCCACTCGTGACCCCATGTATTTTAGTCTATAATTAAGTATACAATACAACACATACGGAGTTATTTCTTTATATTTTTTTTTTGTATCCGTGTTTGTGTTAATAATCCAACTAACTCACAAGCATAATCCCAACCGAAAACAGCTTCTAGAGACAGAGACACAGAAAACAGAGTCTTTAACTATCTAATACACAAAAATGTGTGCACTTGTCCCTCCATCTCCATTATATCCCAACTTCGGCTGGCCTAGCGGAGATAATAGCTTCTATGAAAATGAAGACATAACCAACACGTTTCTTGATTTTCCGTTGCCGGACTTGACTGTGGCTCATCAGAATGTGTCATCTGAGAATAATAGAATATTACTAGACGACAATCCCGTGGTGATGAAGAAACTTAATCACAACGCGAGCGAGCGTGAGCGTCGCAAGAAGATCAACGCAATGTTCTCATCTCTTCGTTCTTGTCTCCCGGCCACCAATCAATCGGTAACCATTAGTTCCATATTATTTGTTTATTTCTAAAATTTTGAAGATTTAAACTAGTTAAACATTCAACAGAAAAAAAAATATATATAAAATGTTTTCTTGCAAATACTAAAACTTCTTATTCATTTGCTTTGGCAATTTTGATGTTGATACAAACAGTGATATTGTGATGTTGTGTGTTTTTAACGAAACAAAAAAAAAAAAAATCGGTCCATAGTAATATAAGAAACCTGAAAGATCTGTCCTGTTTTTTTTTTGTGTATTTCTTGCAGAAGAAGTTAAGTGTTTCCGCAACAGTTTCACAGGCATTGAAGTACATACCAGAGCTGCAAGAGCAAGTTAAAAAGCTCATAAAGAAGAAAGAAGAGCTCTCGTTTCAAATTTCGGGTCAAAGAGATCTCGTTTACACCGACCAAAACAGTAAGCCAGAGAAAGGGGTCACAAGTTATGCATCAACAGTTTCTGCGACAAGGCTCGGTGAGACCGAAGTGATGGTCCAAATTTCATCGTTACAGGCTGACAAATGTTCGTTTGGGAATGTGCTGAGTGGTGTAGAAGAAGATGGTTTGGTTCTTGTGGATGCTTCATCCTCAAGGTCTCAAGGAGAGCGACTCTTTTACTCTTTGCATCTTCAAATGGAAAATGGCAAGGTGAATTCCGAAGAGTTGGGTGATAGATTGTTGTACTTGTACGAGAAATGTGGACACTCGTTTACATGATTCAATAATTCATTAATGTAATTTATTCTGTTTTTGTCTCTCTTTGAAGAAACTCGATGTTCTTTAGAAATAGTATGAACCTTCTGCTCAAGTAGGAAGTTATTTTGGCGTAAAGAAACCTTCACCGGCAAAAGTTTTGGTACGATTTGGAACTTGGAAGGATAACAACGCGTGAATGGATTGTGTGCAACAGTGAAAGAAGGTCTATTTCACAATTTGTATATGAGGATGTGTGTAGTTAGTTACACAGATCAAATATGCGGACACTAATTTTCTGAAAACAGTAATTTCTGAAAATCTTTAATCATTTTTGTAACTTTTTAATGTTCAAATTTCCCTTTTAATTTGGCAAAATCACATAATCAAAAACCCTTAAAACAAAAGAAAATTCCATAACTTATACTCTTCCCAATTATATTAAAATCACAGTTCAGAGCCTGATCCTTTTTCTTCTTTTTCAGAGCCTGCCTAATCAAAAATTAGGTGAATGATATTTTTTGGGCCTTGATTGGAAGAATAATTTTGGCCCATTTCCTTTCAATATATATCAAGGGGAGAAGAGAAAAATTTCACATCTACAATTCTTAATAACTCTGAAGTATACAGTACAAGCATATTTGTAATTAAAAATAATATCCTAGTAAAATACCTTATATTATGGTCAAAATTAATTTTTGTTGTCTTAAAATTTTAACATGAACAAATCTTACAATTTTAACATGATCGATCATATTGTCTATTTTGTAATATATAATGTACAGTATGTTGTTAGAAAACAAAAAGATCCACGAAATGTTTAAATCTTTCTTTCTAGTGTGTCTTACCATAAATTCTTTAACCAAAAACTGCAAAGGGAATAACTTTTCTGGGTGGACTGCATCAACGATGCTGTAAAGGCTTACCAAGTTGAGAAAGAGCTGACCAAATAAAAAATGAAACTACTTAAAATAGAAAAATGTTGAAAATAAACCAAATGGTCATAATAAACACCAAAGAAAGGCCAAATCCACGGGAAAGCATATAAACCAGTGCTGTTAGGTGCAATGCATCCTCTAAATTCAAAATGTATGAATAATGAAAATTTCTCAATTTTTTTTTTTTTGGCTGGCAACACCCAACTTGCTTTATTATCTAATTTAATTCGGCAAATGCTCTATTTTATTTTCATTAATATTATCATTTATATGTTTAAACTTTAAACGCATTATTGTCTATTTTCATTAAGTTATTAAGGAGCAAATAAGTTATTTTGTTTAATGTAAGTTTGTGATTTTCTCAAGGAGGAGAATTTAGATTTTAGACAAAAGGACCTCATTGGGAACTCCAAAAACAATGTACAACAGAAAAGTACATCAGCCTCCGGTCTCCGTCAACATACCTATAACATCTAAAAAGCTTTGGGATGTTCATGCATCTACCTTTTCTCTTTGCTTGCAGTAAAGTATTTCTTAACCCTTTATTCTTCTAGAAGTTTTCAGTTCAACTAATAATAATCATGTAACTAGATTAAATTTGAACCTGTTACAGTTTACTAATTACAATGGAATCCAACAACAACAACATATTTTCACTAGCTACTGAAATTAACATAATGGGTTACATTGTCTTTTTAATGTTTTTAAATAAAAAGAATATAGGTAATAGTGAGGTTTATTATTGATAAATTGCAAAGTTAGTTTGTATTTCCTTTTTTGAGTCAGCTTTTCAAGTAGTCACATGAAATTTCTATTTGCTTCTTTATAGATCTTTTAAATTCTATTCACACAATTGTATAGCGTTATTTTAAGCAGCATACCATTTATTAATACAAACACACATGTATTTTACTACAGTAAAACTCAACTTAATTTTTTATTTATTAATAAAATGTTATCTATGACTTATGAGGATAAGACTGAAATTTTGTTGATAATTCTTCTTAAACATTTTGTTTTAAAACAATTTTTTATAAAACGAAAAAAAAACAAATACAATAATCATTATAAAGAGAATGAGTAACAATTATGGTTGAAGCAACAAACACGAAAGAGAGTAAAAACAAGGCAGGAGAGTGAAATTAGTTGATTACTTGAATCAAGACATATAGACATAAATCACAGCTGTGACCTGAAACCGGCACTTTGGAATCACCCTTTTTTGCACATTTCTTGACTATGCATTTATATCCTTCTAATGCAAAATCTAACTCCCTACTTAATTAGTCTTAACTTTTCTCAAGTGGGGTTCTATTATTTTATTTATTGTATATTTGGTCCTTTTGTTACTTTGGAGTTTGGACAGGGTCAATAATACGGTGTATGTATTTACAATCATCGACAAAAAGTAAAAAAAGTAAAATTACCACTAATCAAAACATAAAGAAATACGGTATTCATTTTTGTTAACATAATCATAATTACCTAAACCACTAAATACAATTCATAAAATTCAACTAAATAATTTGGTAAATAATCTGGATGAGAAAAAAAGAATGTTAGAATAGATTTTTGGATTTTCCTTAAATTTTGTATTTACTTTTTTAGCTAAGAAATATTGGAATTTTGTTGGGGTGTTAAAAGTATACAAGCTATACATACACGTATACACAAACATAGAGATAGACATTTCAACTTTCCCATTTGCTACTACTATATATAACTAAAGCCAGAGATAAAGGCAGAAGGATCTAAGACAAAGGCAGAAGTATATCAAAAAAAAAATTAGTTGATAAACTAAATACTAATGGAAAATGAGGGTTCATGATCAACGGCTGAGATTTGATGTCACACCCAAGCCAATGGGTTTGACCGGAAGTTCTTTGATCACGGCAAGATCCGTCGCACTTCTTCTCTTTCTCTCTCTGCTTCTTCTGATTCTGCCACCGTTCCTGCCGCCGCTTCCACCGCCTCCGGCGACACTCCTCCTCCTTCCTCTTCTCCTCATGATTCTCCTCATTTTCTTGGCTTTTTCTCCTTCTAATGAGCCCAGCCTCGCCGTGGAACCTCTCGACCCCTGATGTCGGCGACTTGCGCACCGTCCGTACATACATATCTGCATTACACAAATATGTATTAGTGTGTCTCTATGTGTATGTTATTAAGGAGCAAATTAAGGGCTTTTAATTAGTTTTAGTTTCGTGCAAGTAAGATCATGTCATGTGATAGATCTCCGAGTTTTTTCTTTTCAAGGATTTCGTGTAATTTAGTTTTTAATTACTTTCTCTGAGCAATTTTCTTTTTCTTTTCTATTCTTTTTTTCTTTTCGTATTTTGTAGAATAATTTTGTTTTATCAGCGTCACATTATGAAATTAATTGTAGAAGAGTATTTTTTTATCAGCGTCACATACGTATTGAGTATGTATATGTTTATCTCTACTTCTATTTCCATTTTTTTTTCTTTGAGTCTCCATTTCCATTTTTTTCCCTTTGACATTTTTATTGACATTTTAAAATTGACAAGTAATCTATAGGTTAATTTATAAATTATACTATGTAATCCGATGTTTAGTTTGGTCTCATGACAACATGATCTATCACTTGCTTTTTTTTTTCTTTTTTTTTTTTAATATCTATCACTTGTTTATTTAATAAATTTTGTTTGTACACTAGATTTTTATTGGGTCTAGTGTGGATCCCACATATGTATTTACACATTGGAAAACTTGGAATCGTCCTTTGATGTCCGAGAGACAGACTAAGTGGATGTGCCATCTGTTCACAAGTCATCGACACACACAATTAGATTCTTTTAATATGGTCAAAAGTGATTTTGGATTAATGATCTTTCTATAACTTTTTATTTTATTGGTTTTACATCTTACTTAGGTCATTTGTACAGTGAACGTACGTCGACTGTTTACATTTTCTAGTTTTAAAAAACAATAAGCATGCGCTCCTTCTCCGTGTATCATTGTTCTAATCAATTAGTCAATTTTTTTGGGTGATATACTGGGTGAATCTAACGTAATTAATGAATCGCTAAATGTTTATCCGTTCGATATATCTATTAATTAGACCAAAAAAGTCCACATGTAAAAGTGTGTTAGATCAATTTAGTTTTGTGCCAATGATTTCTGGAATGAAGAACAAATATAAAGAAATTTGACTTGTGGGCACGACGGCTGGCGGGTAAAGGAGTCACTAACTAACTCATGATTGTGTAACGAATATGTGAATTATACTGTGAAAATAGTTTGGGGATGAGCATTATCGTTGCTCTAGTTCGTTGGTCTAATGATATAACTCAAAGAACTGTGTTAATTTCAAAAGAAAGATGGATTGACTTCACAAATACTATCATGCATGCATCTATTCACACACTACGTTCCAATTTTCCAACAAGTGGGTTAAAAAGAAAACAGTTTCAAATTTAATCACGAAATTTTGGTTGATTCTGATAATTTCAAGGACTACATTTTATTGATGTTGTTGTGTTAACCACTCAAAACCAAGGACTTAAAATAGAGCAAATGAAAACGAATTCATTAATCATTTTAAAAATATTTTATTATCAGATATCCTTTTTGTGAACAATATAGATGATAATTTAGAAGATATGCTTGTGATGATATATTTGGGGATGAGATTATTTACTTTTTTATTTCCATGAACTTCCCCATTGTCTAACAAGTTCTAATTTAGATCCAAGATGACATCACAGTTTAACACTGTTTGATCCTAAATTTGGATCATCAACTTTGAAAACTGAAACAAGAAAGATCCATAAACCAAAATTTAAAACGAAATTTTGTCCGGTTAAGTACTGTGTCATATACTATATGAGATGATTTATCCGGGGAAATAGTGTGGGTGATATTCGGGACAATGTACAAAAGAAAAGGATATTTGACCAAATTCAAGGGAGAAAAGAACAAAAAGAATAATTAAATAATTTTATAAATGATTAAAGAAAATTTTGTCTTCGCTTTATCAAGTCTCTATCTTTCGACAAAACAAAAAGCATACGAGAAGGCATTTAATTTGTCCACAAAAATCAGATCCACTGCACCTACACATACAAATGAGAATGAATGCATACGTCTTGAAATTTTGCTCTTTGTTTTTTTTTTGTTTAATTGGTCACGAGA